ACAAGAGAATAACGAATAACACGGGCAGCGAGAGAAAAAGACGGGGTCCTCTTCTAATCAGTTTGCCAGTGTTCTGGTACAATTAAAGCGAGTTTCCTGTATTCAACTGCTGCTGTTTCTGCATTGTGACACTGGTGGAGGCACTGGGTACATGTTCAGGACGCCTGACAACAGCCCCGCATCTAGTCCAGAAAGACTTCCACGCATCGACACCCCCGTTCACCACAGCAGCCGCCGCCTGTTAGGCTTCAGCCCGTAGTTCGGTCCAGCCCGTAGTTCGGTCCATTGCCGGAAAGTGTGACCGTGCCAGAAAGCATGACGGCGCCTGGAAGCACTGGCCCCAACATGTCCAGCCCAAGCACGACACAGGTGACTGTTTTGAACCCTTGACTTCCAGTTAACTTCCACAGAAACGCACATGAGGACGCACATGACTTGGCTCGAGAAATTCGAGCACACAGCGAATGTTAACGGGTGGAACACCACACAGAAATTGGGCTACGTTTATTTTCCGCTTCAAGGTGGAGCCCGAACATGGTTCACAAATCGCGTGTGGTCGTCTTGGGACGAGTTCCGGCAGAAGTTCCTCGACACATTCGCGAGCACTGAAAGACGAGAAATCGCACAGCGTCTCCTCGAGTCACGGATTCAGAAACCAAATGAATCCGTTACGATGTTTGTTGAGGACATGGCGCGGCTATTTCGTCGAGCAGATCCTAATATGCCCGAAGCCAAAAAAGGTTAGCCACCTCATGCGGGCCGGGGCGTTAAGGAGCAGCACTTCGCTGGTCTCGTACGAAATCCGCCTACAAGTGTTGATGAATTCTCCAAGGAGGCGACATCTATCGAACGCGCACTGCATCTACGTTATCGCCAGTATGACCGCCCAACCCACAGTGCACCGATTAGCGTGGCAGCCACGACCACAGCAACAACACCCGATGAAGGTTCTTTGCGCTAACTAATACGAGAAATCGTACAAGAAGAGGTCAAGAAGCTCGTCGCCAAACCGAATAACTGCGCGATCGCCTCAGTAACGGAAGTTGTACGCCAGGAGATCAGGCAAGCGCTCTCGCTTCCTGAGCCGAACACGAGCACTCCCAGGGCAAGCTATGCAGAGATAGTCTGCCGACAGCCAGCGAACGTGCCGACAAGCCAGCGAACATGCCGACACCACATCAGTACCACCAGCAACATCCACCGACAGCACCTTGGTACTACAGAGAAACTTCGACGCCGAGGCGGCCCCCACTTCGCAAAATTGACATCTGGCGTACCCCTGACCATAGGCCCCTGTGCTTTCATTGTGGGGAAGCAGGCCACATCGTTCGGTATTGCCCGTATCGCGTCGCAGGGTACCAAGGGTTTCCTTCCACTGTTCCTTGGCGCCATTTCAACGCAACACCTGACGTCGACACGAGTGTCATGACACAGCGGGATGTTCCTCCTGGGTTTCGGTCAAGCTCACGCTCTCCTGGGCGTTATTCTCCATCCTCTAGACGGAGCACCACTGACATGCCAAGAGAGAGATCTCCTAGTCCACGCTGGGGAAACTAAAAGCAGCGACCCCAGAGGGGGAAGGTTGCGAATCGTCGAAGTGCTGAAAATCCCCCAATACTGCCGAGCGAAAAGAGACACATTTTCAATGAATCGACGAAAGATGGGGTTGTTACTGCCGAAGTTGCAATTACGATTGACGGACATGACGTCATGGCATTGGTCGACAATGGCGCAGACTTCTCAATAATGAGTGAGAGTCTGGCAGACACGCTCAGGAAGGTTAGAAAGGAAGTGGACAGGACCGCAGATAGAGGAGCTGGAGGGCAGCTACTCACACCTACAGGAAAGTTCACCGCAAGAAATAAGATAGGGGATGCATCCTTCGTCGCAACTTTCGTTATTCTTTCTGAGTGTTGCAAACAGACAATCTTGGGGATGAATTTCTTGCGTGAATATGGTGCCATCATCAATATACCGGACGGTGTACCGACCTTTTCAGCGGATCAAAGCGCAGCGCTACACCGAAAATCCCTGCGAGTCATTGACGATGTGACCGTATCTCCGTTATTGTGCCACCTTGTTTCAGTCACGTGCAGCGAACAGAATACTGGAGAAAGAATTGCTGAACAAGTATTGATGCTTCTACTCTCTCGCGGTGTTGCAATTGCCAGAAGTATCGTCAATGTTGCGTGCGGTGAAGCAGGAGGTTTTGTTGACGAATTTTACTGACGAGCGACGACACATTTCCCAGCACCTCCACTAGTGTCACAATGCAGAAACAGCAGAAGTTGAATACAGGAAACTCACTTTAATTGTACCAGAACACTGGCAAACTGATCAGAAGAGAACCTCGTCTTTTTCTCTCGCTGCCCGTGTTCTTCGTTGTTCTCTTGGTGCTGCATATTCAATGTGGCAATATAACAAACATTGACCTTATGATGTATAATTAGCATCCCTGTTATACCTGTTTGAATAGTAATGAAGTGTTCACTTTAGATGTGGGTGACCCTGTACATGCATATGCAGGCAACAATGCCCTCACTTTTGTCACATACACACAGTTACCAGTGCATAGTCATTACTAGGTACAATTGGTGAGGCACTTTCACATGTGAACAGTGCAATGGCAACAACAGAAACAATGAGGCACACTTATTTGTTGTGCCTTTGTTATTGTTGCTACTGTTGTGTTCACTGCCTTGGCTGTGGCTAAATTGCTTATTTGCCTCAATCAGTGTATCAAAATAAAAGAAAAACCAGAAAAGGACAAGCAAAAAATTATATTTTTTACTGGAAGAAAAATTTAACCTAAATGCATTTATTATTTCGTCCCGGAGTGAAACCAAAAATCTTTTTTCAGTTCATGGGAAAACTTGGCAACTGGAAACAATAGAGGTCTTGAAACGTGAGCATATCTTAAGGGGACAGTATTAGCGCGCATCTTAAGCAGTAATTCCAAAATAAAGAGCTGAAATTGTGCGAAAAACTAAAACAAATGCAACCAGAGCAGTTTATACCAACGCACGGGGACTTTCATGTGTCTGTCATGCAGGTAAGCATAATTCTCATCACTAGAGCTTGTTTTTTCAGAACGGCGTAGCCGCACATTTCAAATTGATAACTTGCAACTTTTGAGATCATGCTCCACCCTCCAGCCCCCACCCCTTGATACAAAACACTGAAGCTGATAAAAAAATTCTCAACCTTTGAGAAATGACCTAGAAGGGTAATGGTCTGTGTTAGCTGGCAATGATACACTGTACAATGTTTCACTACGCACATCAATTTCGTGGTACGTTACTTCGGCTTCTCTGAAGAATGCTGTAGGAATGTGCTTTACCCCTGTCCCTACATTGAAATCTATGTTTTTATCGTTAATTCAGCCTTGCATTCTTGCATACAAATACAAAACTGCTGCGAACCGTTTAAAAACTTTAATTAAACTTTTTTTTCCTTCCAGAAGAGGAATGAAACGGAATTTTTTGTGGTGGAATAAACTGAAACTGAAAAGAAGCATACTTTGCTCAGACACCCTGGTATCAATTAAAAATAATTCCTTTTATGATTCCGTGGCTTGTCTACGAAAATGTCTAAAACAACAATATTATCAACAGTACTCCCTACTTACCAACAAATTAATATGAATGTACCACATGACAGGGCCCCATGAGTGGGATATTTTGGAAATAATCCCGATGACGTGAGAGGTACCGCCTACAATTAATCACAAGTAATCGAACTAGCTGCACTAAATAACGACCATTCCGTGCATCAAGAGACGTACTAAAATGCTGCTTGTTTGTTTGTGTTTGATTCATGGAAAAAATAACCGTTGGACATTACTATGGGAAATGGCACGAGAGGATCAAAAGTTCAATTTTGGCTGGTTAAACTGGACAGGCCATGCCATCTCACGGGACCCAGTTGAACCAAGCACGCTGTCATCTCGAACGCCACGGCAGGAAATTGTTCAATGGCCGTTGTTGCTGCTGTGGCTGCCGTTACTTTTGCTCTGATGCTACTAGAGTCAGCGGACGCGCAGAAAGCAGGGCAACGTTGTGCACGGCAACAGTGACGTGAAAGTTGTGGGGGTGCTGACACCCCCCCCCCCTGTAAAGTTGTCTGCGCCGCGTGGCGCACGTGTCTCGCCCCAGGGCGTTATTTCGGTGGTGACCACCACCGGGCGATAGATGGCGTTGTGTTCGCGTTGAGTACCACTGTTGGTAGAGTGGTAGCGCCGGTGGTGGCCCCTGGCGGAAGGCGGGCCTTGGTGGTGGGCGAGCGTTGAGCGAGCCTCTTCTGCGCGTGCCGGCTGCCGCGAACGGTTGTCTGTCGCGTGGGCCCCCGGTGCTCGGCACCGCGGGATTCGCGCCAGGGTCCCACGTGGAAAGTCAGTCGTTGGCGACGCCGCCTTGGGTATGTGCTAGTGTGTTGGGTGTTAGTGTGTGTTTATCATGTTATTGTGTGTTTAGTGTTTCACTGTGTTATGTTGTTTGTATGGTAGCATGTTAGTTGAAATTGATGTACATTCGGCGGACGATATCGTCGTCTAAATTAGTTAATAAATGTATGTTGTGTGCTTTGTACCGACCGTGTCCACTGTGTCCGTTCACTCCAAGAGCGTGGCGTGGCGATGCGCGCGTTCGCCTCGCCGAGACCCCCACAAAGTTTTCACATTGAGGAAGGTCAATTGAAGTGCCCTAACGCTATGAAGACCACTGATATGCGATTTTATTTCAAAATGAGCACTTCCTTGGCATAAAAGTGGCACTAGGAGGTTTCTAGACCACTACTTCAGCAATCAATGTCGACTTATCATTTGCCTTATGAGTCCCTTTACCCAAAAACCCTTTTTCTCAAGACTTTTCCCACTCGCAATGGGTTCAGCTTCCATTCAACATAAGGAAAAACAACATACAGTGATAGTGTAGATGTTAAAAAAGAATTTAAACCAGCACTACACTTATCATTGTTATCGCTTGTCGTATAGCGATACTCACCAAATGGAAGCTACTGAAGCATTCTGGAGCACATACGTTCTGTCCAGGAATAAAAATATGCTTCGAATCATAATCTGTAAATGTAAAACAATAAAGATGACCCGGAATATTGAGAATACAACAATGCAAATTAATCATGGCTGAAAAACAGTTGCTTACCATTTGTTGGCAATGAGACTGCCAGCATGTGTTCATAAGCTTTAAAAACAAATTGCTATCGAGCGAATCTGTGCAAAGATGTCAAGGAAGCAGTTACACAACACTGAACATTCTACAACCAGTGATATCTCGACATTTGCGACATAAGAAAACTGCAACATGAAAACATCTCACAGATACTTTTTAACATATTTTGAGAACCACAGAGGACTCTGAATGACACTGAAATGCTCCAAATCAATTTCCACAGTACAATTTTGAAGAGAAACCTTGGAAAGCTGTGCGCTATTTCACACTGGACAGGCATAACATGAGAACATGGAAAAAACGAGGATCACGACTTGAGCACTGATAATCTTTTTGTCTCTGTCTTTATTTGTTTAGTGCAGTAGCCTGCAAATTATTATTGATGACACAAGCTCCTCGACATGTAAAGCTGTAATCTATATGAGCTGAAATGCCATGGTCGTGGTCGAAGTGGCCCTGACCCCTGTACGGTGACAGTGGAAAATGATAAAGTGGTTTACAAAATACCAGAAATCGATAAATTGTTTAGGTTACCAACATTTTTTATGTTGGCATCGGCACGTAGTATCTGTGCTGCTTTATTGAGTGAAAGTGTACCTGAATGTAAACACACGCCTGTCTTTGCATTCCGATTCCATCAGACTGTGGCTGTTTCAGCCGCAAACCAAAACTCGTGCTTGACCATAGATGACCTCAATATCGCCGTGAAGGATATCTGGAGAAAGTGCTGAGGGCGGAGCGAACGTGCTGTTCACAGAGCGAGCGTAGGTTGTCGTACAGCTGTGGGGCCATCTTGTGTGAGCAGAGGTTCTCCACAGCCTGGTACAACTCCTCATGGGATGTCGAGATGTGCTGCGACTGCTGGATGGCCACGACAGCCCCGCGCAGCTGTGCCCATGCCTCATCGGCATATTGCTCGGGCAACTGCGGCCGTTCTGTGAAGATGCAGGGACAGAACACTCAGGATTAGGTGCACTTACACATTGCCAGGGAGAAATAGCCTGCTGCTTTCAGTCTACCGTTCAAACATGTCCATAATTTAGTGTGAAAGAGAAAATTCTCAAAGCTACAGCACAACAGCGTAACTCCTCAAATGTATGTCACATATTGTAACGAATGTAGCAGCCTCACAACAACGATGTTCTATTTACACGGTTTATTAAGGGCGAACTTGCGCCCAAAGTGAACGACGCACAGCAATCAAGAAGATCCAAGGGCGGTAGTCCTCGTGAGCCTCTGCCTCGAGAACTCTCGTTCTCTTCTTCTTCACGCGCGTTGGCTGTTCGGCGGAGTACCGGGCGCATGCAGGGCCAGCTGGTGCATTTCGGCTGGCTTCGTCGCTCGTAGCCGTGCTGTTAGCGTTTCTCTGATTCCCAACGTCCGCGTTGGGCGGAGCAATGGTAATTTCCTGTGGCATTATCCCCCCTCTCAAGAGGCATCGCCCCGATGCTTTCGATGATAATGTATGCAGCGTTTCCATCTCGGAAGGTTTGTAAGAGGGAAATGGTATTACAGCAACCAACTGGGGTGGCTAGTCTTCGTACCGGTCGTAGCACGGTTTCATGCGCACAATGTGTACACGCTCGGTGGGATTGCGTCGTTTAGAATGCCCATGACCTGTAGGCTTGACTTCATAAACGAGGTCGCTGAGTTGCTGTACTACCTCGTAAGGACCGAAATATCGACAAATGAATTTTTCAGACAGGCCTCGTCGTCGTACTGGGGTCCATATCCACACTTTGTCACCAACTTCATACCGTGTCTCACGTCTTCCTCGGTTGTAGCGGTCGGCATCGATTCGTTGTTGGTGACATATTCGGTACCTTGCTAATTGGCGGGCCTCCTCCGCTCTCTCTATATAGTAATCGAGATCAGAAGGATAGTCATCTTGATCTATAAGTAACATAGCGTCCAGTGTTGTGGTAACTACACGACCGTAAACTAGTTGAAACGGGCTAATCTTGGTAGTCGCTTGTACGGCGGTGTTATAGGCGAAGGTGACGTATGGTAAAATTTCGTTCCACTTTTTGTGTTCGACGTCCACATACATAGCTATCATGTCAGCTACAGTTCTGTTAAGGCGTTCAGTCAGGCCGTTGCTTTGAGGGTGATATGCGGTAGTTTTCCTGTGAACAGTGTGGGTCATGTTCAGCAGGCATTCCATGAGTTCCGCCGTGAAAGCCGGTCCGCGATCGGTGATTACAACAGTTGGAGCGCCATGCCGTAGCACTATGCTCTGTACAAAGCATTTGGCGACCTCAGCTGCCGTTCCTCGATGCAAGGAGTCTGTTTCCTTAGTATCTCGTTAAATAATCAGTCGCTACAACGATCCACTTCTTGCCAAGTAAAGATGTCGGGAATGGTCCAAGGAGGTCCATTCCGACTTGTTGGAAGGGTGCTTTCGGTGGGTCTATCAGGTGTAGAAGGCCCGCTGGCTTAGCACGAGGCGCTTTCCGTCTTTGGCACTCGCGGCATGTTCTGACATAGCGCTGTACTGAAGACAATAGCTTGGGCCAATAATAGTGCTGACTGATTCGTGCAAGTGTTCGAGTGACCCGCACATGTCCAGACGTAGGCTCATCGTGGCACGCTTGTAATATTTCTTGCCGCATAGTTGCGGGAACGACAAGCAGAAACTTTTCACTGTTGGGCTTAAAGTTTCTCTTGTAGAGGACATTTCCTCGGAGACAGAACGATGCGAGGCTTCGAGAAAATATACGAGGTACTTGTACGTCAGCTCCTTTCAGGTGTTTGATGAGCGGGAGCAATTCTTCGTCCGCATGTTGAATTTCAGCTATCTGGGAAGTCTCGACAACAGCCACGAATGGAAAGTCCTCTTCATATGATAGTGCTGTGTCTGCAGGTGCCCGTGACAAACAGTCGGCGTCGGTATGCTTCCTGCCAGATCGGTATACCACAGTTATGTCAAATTCTTGCAGTCTGAGGCTCCACCTTCCTAGTCGTCCGGACGGGTCCTTGAGGTTGGCGAGCCAGCAAAGGGCATGGTGATCGCTGACTGCCTTGAATGGTCTACCATACAAGTAAGGCCGAAACTTACTGATGGCCCAGATGACGGCAAGGCATTCGTTCTCTGTGGCCGAATAATTGGTCTCTGCCTTTGTTAGAGTCCGGCTGGCCTATGCTATCACCTTTTCTTCGCCATTCTGCCACTGTATTAGGATGCATCCTAGGCCGATGTTGCTGGCGTCTGTGTGTATTTCCGTGTCAGCTGTTCCATCAAAATGAGAAAGGATTGGGGGCTCTTACAACCGTTTTCTTAATTCGTTGAAGGCACTTTGTTGCTCTGTTTCCCACTGGAAAGGTACATCTTCGCTCGTAAGTTTCGTCAAGGGTTCTGCAATCTGCGAGAAATTTCTGACAAATCGTCGGTAGTAAGCACAGAGACCTAGGAATCTCCATACTGACTTTTTGTCTGCTGGCACCGGGAACCTTGCAACGGCGGCTGTCTTTTCGGGATCAGGGCGCACACCGTGGGCGCTGACAACGTGCCCAAGGAATCGAAGCTCTTCGAAACCGAATTGGCACTTCTCTGGCTTGATGGTTAAATCTGCCGAACGGATTGCTACTAACACTGTTTTCGCAGGCGCTTGATATGCTCCTCGAATGTAGCGGCGAAGATGACCACGTCGTCAAGGTACACTAAGCAACACTGCCACTTCAATCCGGAAAGTACAGTGTCCATCATGCATTGGAACGTTGCCGGCGCACAACAGAGACCAAAAGGGAGAGCCTTGAATTCATAGAGTCCGTCCGGGGTAACAAAAGCAGTCTTCTCGCAATCACGTTCATCAACTTCAATTTGCCAGTATCCACTTTTCAGATCTAGTGATGAAAAGAACTTGGCACACTAATGTCTGTCTAATGTGTCGTCAATACACAGAGGGGATATACATCCCGTTTAGTCACAGCATTTAACTTCTGGTAGTCGACGCAAAACCTTCGCGTGTTATCCTTCTTCTTGACAAGTACTACAGGAGATGCCCACGGACTGCTAGAAGGTTGAATAACATCATCTTCAAGCATCTCCTGTACTTGATTCTTGATGACTTCTCTTTATTTTGGTAAAACGCGGTACGGGTGCTGGCGTACCGGCCTGATTGTCTCGTCTGTTACGATCCTGTGTTTTGCAATGGTTGTGCGTCGTACCTTTGAACTATTGCAGAAACAGCTGAAAATTCCCGTACAAGGTCGTATAGCTGTTGACGTTGGATCACTGAAAGATTAGGATTTACGGATATTACGTCGCAGACATCAGGTGTTGCTTTCATATCCGTTGGCGTTGTTTCAAGGCTGCATATTTATGTGGCTTCACAAACCTCATGAAGAAAGGTTATGGCTGTCCCCTTTGCGATGTGCTGGAATTCGTTCCCAAAATTTGTCAGGAGGATGTCTGCGTACCCGTTTTGTAGCTGGATAATCTCTCGTGCCACACAAACACCTCTTTTCAGGAAAACATCCATGTTGCTGTCTGCTACACCTTCGTAGTCACCAAACGTATCATTTCTGACTAGAAATGATACACTGCTCTGCGACGGTACAGTCACATCATCATCGACGATGTGCAGTGGAGTGATGTATTGCTCGTCTGCTAAAGCTACCTTTATAGCTTGTTCCGTCGAAAATGATACGCTGAACCTCTGCAAATTAATAATGGCACCATTTGCTTGCAGAAAATCCATTCCGAGTATAACTTCTCTTGAACATACGGGCAGGAGAACAAAGTCACCAACGTAAGTGAAACCTCGTATCTCAACTCTTGCGGCGTCTGCCGAGAAGCGTAATAAGGTGACCGCCTGCCGTATGTACTTGAGGTCCACTCCATTCGGTCAGAACTTTCCTGAGGCACTTCGCTAAATCGTAGCTTATCACAGAGTAATTCGCATCGGTATCGATTAAAGCCATGAGCTCTAGCCCGTCAATTACCAATGGCAAGTCTGAAGTTATCTTCTCAATTCTGCACTTCTTTACCTGGAGACAGTCGTCGTCGTCGTAACGCTGGTGTCACAGTGGAGGATCTTCGTATTTCGAATCACCAGCGGCCTCGCCTCCACAGGTCGCCCACTTCAGTTTCCCGGGTTTGGACTAGGCGAACGATGCCTAGGTGCGTTTGGAAAGAAACGTGGGCTTGCCGAGCACTGACGTAGAGGGGATGGTGACCGCGATTGATGACGACAATGCAGGTCGAAGCTCTGACGTGAGCACAGGTATTCCTCGATGTCGGACGGCCTTTCGCCGTTTCGCGGACACGGTGCGTTGACCGCAAATCCTCGAAGACCAGCTTGACGATATCGGCCTCTCCACAGTGGAAGCACAGGGGCCTACGTTCTGCATCTCGCCATACATCGCTTTTCCGAGGCCTTGTCTCTGTCAGAAGAGGTGTGCTGCGAGTTGCCTCTACAATATGGCGCGGGCTACGTGTTGTCGGTGCATAAGTACCAGGTGTCTCAATAGGCGCACAGTGGACAGCAGGCCGCCTGAGGACCTCAGAACAAGTTACCGCGCGTCGTGTCGGTGGTGCATCCCTTTGCGGCTCCCGTATGGCCTGCCGAATTTCTTCTCGGACAACATCCGCAATAGACAGTTCCGGTGAAGTGGGTGGCTGCAGCTTGCGTAGTTCCTCCCTGACAACTGACCGGACGAGCTCCTGCAGAGTGTCAAGATTATCGACAACGTTTGCCGAGAAGACCCCTGCTGATGTACTGGCTACGTCACGATTGTATTGCCGGGCTCTCTACTGCAGCGTCGTTTCTGTTGTTGTTGCTTCCGACCAAAACTCAGCAACAGTGCGCGGCGGATTGCGAACGAGTCCCGCGAACAGCTCTTGTTTTACCCCATGCATGAGATGACGCACCTTCTTGTCTTCAGTCATGTTGGGATCGACTCGCTTGAACAGGCGGGACATGTCTTCTATGTACATAGCGACAGTCTCATTTGTGCATTGATTCCGTGCACGAAGAGCTGCTTCTGCCTTTTCCCGGCGATCATTGTTGCCAAACGTACACAGTAGCTGCCGCCAAAACTCTTTCCAGGACGACAAAGATGCGTCGTGGTTTTCGTACTACACTCGCGTTGCGTCTTCCAAAGAGACGTATACGTTGCGCAACTTGCCTGCTTCATTCCATTGTTTTATGTTCGCCACCCTCTCGAAATGATCCAGCCAGTCTTCGGCATCCTCGAACGGGTCACCATGGAACACCTTCGGTATGACGGGCTGGCTGACAATGAGCTGTGATGGTGCAACTTGGCTAGTCATGGTGGTGGCGTTTCTTGTTTCCGTCGCTGATGCCTTTGGCACAGGGGGAAGTGGTCCAACTTCTGGTTAATCCCCTCGAATACGGCGACTGATCCGTTGGTGCACCGGCGTAAGCTCCACGGCTTGCGGATGGTAAGGGCTTAGACTTCGCTCTCTCGTGGGGGTTGGAATCATCTACCCAGCACCTCCACCAGAAAATGTTACAAATGTAGCAGCCTCACAACAGCGATGTTCTATTTACACGGTTTATTAAGGGCGAACTTGTGCCTAAAGTGAACGACGCACAGCAATCAAGAAGATCCAAGGGCGGTAGTCCTTGTGAGCCTCTGCCTCGAGCACCCTCGTTCTCTTCTTCACGCGCATTGTCTGTTCGGGGGAGTACCGGGCGCATGCAGGGCCAGCTCGTGCATTGCGGCTGGCTTCGTCGCTCGTAGTCGTGCCGTTGACGTTTCTCTGGTTCCCAACGTCCGCGTTGCGCGGAGCAATGATAATTTCCCGTGGCAATATCACCTCCTCACCGTTTTCCTTGTCATCACCTGCTCCCCAGTTCGTGCCGACAAAAGATGATGAAAAAAAAGCAGACATTTCATGAGATAGCCTTATTGTACATGACAGAAAATTTACAAGTCAGGAGAAGTTAGGTCATTATATAACTTATAAAGGTGCTGTGGAGTCCCTTTAATATTACACTACTTTTTTAAAAGGCAAAGCTTGGTAATGTAGATGTAATTACAGAAACTTTCAAATACTATTAAACGATTGATGATTGATATGTGGGGTTTAACGTCCCAAAACCACCATATGATTATGAGAGACGCCGTAGTAAAGGGCTCCGGAAATTTTGACCACCTGGGGTTCTTTAACGTGCACCCAAATCTGAGCACACGGGCCTACAACATTTCCGCCTCCATCGGAAATGCAGCCGCCGCAGCCGGGATACGAACCCGCGACCTGCGGGTCAGCAGCCGAGTACCTTAGCCACTAGACCACCATGGCGGGGCGACTATTAAACGATGATGTAAACTTTGTTTTGTAGTAATGGCAGAAATGGCTGGTCATTATATTAAAAGTAATTTTCATTTCATCTTGAGCACTAATATGTGAAAATGCCGCAAGTAAATCAGCTGCTCTCTCTATCGAAAGGTATATTATTTGAGTTCTCAAATAATGCTCGTGCATTAATAGATATTGCCAAATACCATTTTTCCTTTTAACCAAGACACAGATCTGTCAGATAAGTAAGAGAAATACAAGTACACCATATACTGTCAGGAATGATGCATTTAATAAATATTAGTGCTGTGGAAACCTGAAACCTGTTGGGGTCAACACTTAATCCTGTCCAATCTTTTTCCCTGTCCCTCCTTGTGTGCTGAAGTTTTATTATATGCCTGAAACACTTTAACTATAAAACAAAACAAATTTTTAATAGCAGATATGAAATGCTTTTGCGAAATATTTTTTTTCCCTAACTTTCACAAAGAAACATAAAAAGTATAGTACCAGTCTATCTCCCTTCCCACTTTTGTCCCATCCATTTATTCAGACTAAATATACGATTAACATAAGGTCTTGAAAGGTCATGAAACGCTTGTGCGAGTAATCATTGAATGACCTCAGTATCCGTGTCCAACGCCTCTTGAATCGACTGCCACAAAAACTTTAGAATCTATGAAAAAGCAGTAGAGATACAGGGGTCTGTCGTGTGCTGTGAGTGCTTTCCTTTTCTTGTCTCAAGGAGCGCGCTGAAAGTTGTACAGGGAGGGACGGCACAGTGCAAAGAAGTTAACATCAGTGTGCTTCATGGCCTTGAGCATGCACAATTAGATGATATCACTCTCTCTCGTGATTTCTGTGTGCGATTGTGGCTCTCTGGGTAGCTTTAGCAAACTATCGACTGCTGTGCCCACAGAAAGCCGGAGACCAATGCAGGCCATAGCGAGAAGCACATGAATGTTGCATTTTCCTTTATGCATCCATTTCAAAGCTTGTCCTCATTTGGATAAAGTGAACCTACACTGCCCCTAATACAACCATGCACAGGCCTGCGGGTAAAATGAGATCAACTGGCAAAGGTTTATTAAGAAGATTTATTCGCGCAGCCGTATCTGTGTTTCAGGCCTTCAAGCTTTCCTTTACATTGTCGAGAGTGTAAGTTTATACCGAAACTCGAGGAATTCACAATTTTGTACAAGCATAATATTATGAAACACGTCTGATGTAAGTCATGACATATCGATAATAGCAGTAGCACATGTGCGAGCTAATCGCTAACTTGTATAAAGATGACACTAATGCCCTTATCTTTCACATAGACTCATAGGCGTACTGGATTGATAGGATCGCCTCTTGCATTGGCATGCACAGATAAGTTTTCATGCTTTTTTTTTTTCTTTTCTGCCTTTGTGTGCATCTTCAGTTGTTTGTTGGCATTTCTCTTGACTTCTTGTGTCTGTGTTTCCATGCCCTGTCTTTTAAAAGGAATACTTATCAATTAGACCAGCTTTCTGTTGTTCTAGCGGTGCTACTGTGCAGCTTAAACCCTCTTTAAAATGCATGTTTGCAGCTTAAATACTACTGTGCACCTTAAACCTTCTTTCAAACGTCCACCACATTGCAGTTGCAGCACCCCGTGACAAGAAGCACATCTGATTAAAAATTACACTCCTGGTTTAGGTCACCTATTGGCCAACAGGGGTAATCTGCTGAGTGACGAAAAATCTGCTGTACAATAACCCTTCCAAGAGCGTGTACAAGCCTTTGTGCAAAGAAAGAGCACTTTAAAAAGTAGCAACTTAGTTCGTGCTCTGCTTGCGAGCTTCCATAACTGTGAAAAACTGGAAGACTTGGCTGAGCTGTTCCGCGCCGGGCCTTTTCCGTTGTATGCTTATTTCCCAAGCATAAGTGATAGTTCCGAACCCCTTATACCACAACACATGAGCTCTTACAGTATTTGTCACCAAATAACACATGTCCAATAGAAACAAGCTTGTCAATATGCAAAGACAGTCATAACTAAGTACTCATACCAATACCTCACTATCGCAATTCAAGGAGGTGTTCTAGAAATTTGACGGAAGCATCATCAGCCTCACTATGCCCACTGCAGAGTAAGGGCCTCTTACATGTTCTGCCATACAATCCAGATGCTTGCTGCAGCCACGTTATACCTGCAAACTTCTTAATCTCATCTGCCCACCCAACTTTCAGTCTCCCCATCAATCGTTTGCCTTTTCTTCGAATCTTGTCACCTTTCATGACTAGCAGTTATTTTGCATACGTGCTACAAACCCCCTTGCCCATTTCTTCTTAACTCCAATTATGATATCCTTAACCCCAGTTGCTTCCCTGACCCAATCAGCTCTCTTGTTTTTTAAGGTTACACCTATCATTTTCGTCTCCATCGGCTGCTGTGTCGTCTTCAATCGAAGCTGAACCCTGTTTCTAAGCCTCCAGGTTCTTGCTCCCTAGGTAAGTATCAGTAAGATGCAGCTGTTATATCCCCTGATTTTGGGTGACAATGGTAAACAACTGTTCCTTATCTGAGGATGCCTGCCAAATGTGCTCTACCCCATTCTTACTCAAGTTACTTCAGTTTCATGGTTCAGCAACTTGTTCTAAATAGATGCAGTCCTCTACTACCTCTAGTGCCTTCTTACCTATTGCAGAGCACTAGTTACCAACCCTTTCCAGACCGTCACAGCAAGCCACGCATTAAATAGATTAACCGAAACCTTTAGTGATATTGATGTTATATACCAAAGCTAATTCGTACAGTAGGTAAGGCCATAAAAAAAGAAATATCGGATATATAGCATAGAACTGTCGAAAACATCACGGCGATACTGTTGATCAAGTACGACACGGGGCGGTAAAAGATACATACGTGCTTTTTTTTTTTGCAATACGAAAAGTGCTTGAGTATCGGTCTTTACCACTCAGACCATAAACAGACACGCTGTTTAAGGCATCTAGCTTCTTTTTTTGCACACTACAATGCCGGTAAAAGGACAGGTCACAGCGCCATCGAAGCTCATTGGTATGACGGACGCATCCAAACGTAATCTGTTGACTGGACTATTGTAAAGCGTACAACGAAGTCTTCATTCCCTGCCGTAACGATTTCGGTCCGCAAATAGGGACAAATCAGGTCTGCAGCCTCAGTTTGCGTTAGACGCATGGGCCTACCAGTCTACTGCTAAAATGAAGTTCAACGCCTGACGACAACACGATCCTCCTCGCCGTGCCTTTGTGTAAATTATGAGAAACAGCAACTAAAGATACGTAACATACGCATCGAGCCGCAATAACTAAGTAGACGTTATTTTCCACGCAAAGTAAACTTCTATAACGAATGGCTACATACCGAACGGAAGGCTCAAAACTGCGCTCACGAAAGGAGCTCACTGAATGGCGCGCGCCCGCGCTGCAGAGACAGCTTTGACGAGCGACGACCGAACTGCAATGACAATGTGATGCAACGACCAGCCAAAGTCAAGGCGACTAAATTAATTCATTGTAAACGCAGTAACGTCCCTCTTCACCACGCAGCGTTATCTGAGAACCGCACAGTCACCAATACGAAATCAGACACACAGAAACGCAGGCGCTTGTCGGACGGATGAGTTTCGGACTTACCGAAGTTTTTGATGACCAGCTTTTTGGCCGAGTTGGGCTTGTTGTTGGACATCGGCGAAACGGTCTTCTTGACACCATTGGAGCCCGCTAATGCTGAGTACATCACTCTTTTCGTGGTGTCCGTCATCGAAAATGCCCTTTTGGATGGACGCTCCGAGACGTACTGGTTCTCCGACAATTTTCTCCGCTTGAAAACGAGCTGGTCTCCTGTGCTCGGTTCGTCACTGGTGCTGAAGGTGCTTGTGGCTGACATATGCGCACATAGCTCGGTGTTTTCAGCGCTGCATTTATTTTCTGCAGGCGGCCGGGCACACGCGAAATTCCACTGCACAAATCAAAATAGAAGATTTAAAGATGGCCGACTGAAGACGGGAGCACATGGTTAATCTGCGCAACGCTTCTTGCGCCGTGTGTGTGCCTTTACGCTGAAGAATAAGAATCTGCGTCAAGTTTACAACAAACATTACGTCTGTTTAAAAAAAAATGCTTTATAGCGCATGCTCGACGGTATGAGTGCTGGCGTTTTTGACAATTCTATGGTACTATTATTAGATCTGTCCGCGTTTTTAGCCGAGACAAGTGCGCCACAAAGACAGTGCTCAAGATAAAAAGAAAGAGTTAAAAACTCGAAGGCTCGAAGCGCGGTTACTTCACGTGCTTCACTTGAACAGCAGCTTCTCTCTCCCTATCTCTCTCCGTTGAGCTTGCTACTCTGAATCAAAGATGGTAAGTGTTGAGTCACGTCCGTACTTTGAGCGGCTACAACACTTCAGCTTCCAGTCGTGAGAGACTTTGTGCTTACCAAATGTAGCTGCTTTGCATTAGAAGCTGTGCTTGTTCCTCCGCAGAACTCTATGACAACTCTAAAAATGAAGCTCAAGGAACTTGAAGAGATCGAGAAGGAAGTCGCTTCGGCGCTCCAGAGTGCAGGTAAGTAAACGCGAGCTTAAGTGAGCTGAAGTTGCAGCAACCTCGGATTCATACCTGTCGACTCTATATTCACATATCTATAGTAGGACCTCTTCTATTTACATAAATAATATATTCGATTGTTTGTCGCCTCAGACAGAATACTTTACGCTGACGACAACATTTTCTCTACACGTGACTCTTTTGTATCCTCAACTTCCCAGCTTAGCAGTGAACATCAGTTAATACCATAAAGTTGGTGCCATGAAAACAAGGTTGCCATTAACCCACCTAATACTATAACCCAAAACTACGTTTTTTTTTTTTCTTCTGCTGTCGGTCTAAAAAACAGTGCAACGTACTCCCGGTCCATGTGGGATAGTATTGCAATAATACCATCTGACAAAAGCGTATTTCTCTGTGTCGAACTTCACTTGACTTTAATTAACACATTGGACGAACTACAAGTAAGACCGCCTATGGCATTCGTGTTCTTCTCAAATCCCATCAACATATCACGCTCCCTGCTTTCTCTCTATGTTGCATTTCTTCGTAGTCATTTGATATATTGCATTGAATCTATTTAAACCCACCAGAGCAAATCTGAAAACAGGCACTCCATATAATAATACCATACTTATCATGCCCATCGGTCTCCGCTATTCTTTTTCCTAAATGTTGTTCTCATTTCAAATATTATTTTTGTTTAACAAGGCCATTATTGTCTACTGCATTGTGTGTAGGCGGGATGCTCCTTATAACACAAAAGAGAAATCAACAAGTTGCTCTAATAAACATGTTTCTTTCTCCAAAGTAATGATTTACTGCTTAGGCCATGCACTAATTATCGACAAAAAAACTCGTTACCTTTGCTGCTCTCAAGGTGTGGAACAGGACCTTTAAGGCTCGTTCACACCGAAGGCGGGGTGCGCAAAAGCGCGAGATGCCCGCCTTTTCTTCTGCCGCGCAGCGAGACGAAGGAGGCATGCGGTCTGAACAGGTTCTTGCACTCGCCGCCTCACCTTTATTATTTACACCAAACACTCCGTTCAACATTAAATGAATTGTTGATTTATGTGTGCCATCACAATACTTTTTCATCCCGTTTGCGGTGCGTTTCGTGTATTCCTTTTTCGGTTCATTCACTATTTTTTCTCACGTGAGTTAATTAGTATAAGTAAGGTATCATTGGAAGTGTTGAAATCTTCATTATTATTGCTATGGCATTTAGTTTTTCATTATATACTCGCTTATTTTGCATGTGTGCTTCAATTTTGAATAGTTTTATTGTCATTACCCACCTTGCCACTCCTACGTTCTGTATGCATGTATACTGCAATTTTACTTCTGATTTTATTATTCTTTTATATATGTCATAATGAAAGATCCCATTGCAGTGTTCACACTAAGGAACCTCTTTCTGTATATCTCTCCCCATATGTAATTTCCCCCCTTAGAAGTATGTTCAATAAACTGAAACTCTGTCCCATTGCAGGTCAGGCATGCCTGGAACTTAGTCGGGAAAAACCGAGTATGAAGCAAGTGGAGTCAAATACTTCTAGCTTTCTGACTACGTTACAGAACGTCGAAGCTGCTCTTACAAAACATATATTGTACCTAACGCAAGTTTCCACCGGTAAGTGATGCAGAACACTCATTCTCTTTGAAAACACTCCCCCGCCTCGTGTGCACTTCAATATGTTCAATGTATTGTGACAGAAATAGTATGAGGCATTGTTGCAGAATGAGTAACCGTTTCAGCCATGACACGAACAAGGAAGCAAACATGGCACAAGCACTGTTGGTTGAATGTAAACATTCAACAGATATGTATCCACGCTTTCACCTCACCATTATGGTAAGCGTCGCAAAATATCACACAAAAGAAAATCATCCTGCACCTTTGGCAGCAGCTATGCAACTGTACACGTGTGCATTATGCATGGATTCAAAAGCGTGTTTCTTTTTGTGCGACACATACAGATAAGTGGCTCGCACATTTGTGCACGTGTTTATGAATAAGAATGTTCAGCCACTTCACTGTCAATTCTGATCCCTGTGCCTCATTATGCCAACTCTACTGTCAAAATTTGGCATGCACCTCCAAGCACGACAGTGGATAGACAAAAGCACGCTAAGAAGCCTTTCAACACAGTTTAGCATTTTATTATGGCTGGGGCTTTTAAAGTTGTGTGTTATTTACACGTGTATATTTGTATTGTTTTTGGTGTGCATCAGTTTGTTCTTGTGCAGTCTTTTCTATCATGGTGTGTGAAAAGTGAAAATGCGACTGTGTGCCTCCCACATGAAGCCAACAGATGTAAAACCTCATGTCTGCTTCCTTGCCTTTGTTTACACATTTCACTGTCACTAACATATTGATACATTTTGTGGTATGCTTTCACTAATTCTCACTGTAACATAAAAGCGGCATATTTTGCTTTATTCTACTGGTTGTGCCATCTCTCGAATATATCTAGAAGAACCAGTCTATCGAGTACGGAGCCACTACTCACACCCTTCTTTGCTAGGGGCATGGCTGCTCTGTGCATGCTACTCGGACCATGCTGCACATGTGCGATTACAGTTACAATGGTTGTTGTGTCTCTGGCCGCAGGTGTTCAGTTTTTATTGGTTTTTATTTTTTTAACCTCCTGTTAACACATCTGCTGCAGCGCGCCAGTTCAGGGGTGCTCCCCGATGCCTATACGCCTATTCAGTAGACCAAATTGTAACTCAATCAATGCTTTCACTCGCTTGCTGTGGCCACGCTTGTGCTGCTTTCTGTAGCAAACGAGGTTGTAGCATCCCCTTTCCATCTCTATCTGTCATACGCTTCACTACACCTCATTTTTCTGCATTTCAAGTTTCTCCATTTCCAAAATCAAGCACCCCCCCCTCTGGAAACACCCGAAAGTGAAATGGTTAAGTTTTATGCCACTTTAAGAGGATAATGTTATCAAAAGCCTCACTGGAATCTCTTGAGAGTGTTTTCACTCTAAAAATGGGAAACCGGTGATGTTAGTAGCATCGGCCAATGTAACTGACGTGCTGTATTAGAGAGGAACAAGCGGCAAAGGATGGTTTTATGACGGATGTTGGTGCTGTGTTAAGGCGTTTGACGACTTTATGAATTGGCGAGGCTTGATCCCACGCAGCGTTCCTTTCACATTCAAGGATTGAGGAACAAGCTTTTGTTGCTACAACACTGGTCCCAAAGCTGCTGAACATCCTATTCTGTTGCTGCAGCGGTGTTCATTACGTGTCCCAGCCATTTTTCTTCACAATGATATAGTGATGCGACGAGCATCACTAAACATCATTGGCAACCCATTTGAAAGCTAGGAAACGCCCTCTTATGGTTAATGCACAATACTGGTGTCAGGGCATTTGATGGTTGTGTGAATTATGACAAAAAAAGAATGTGATGGTGACCAACTAGGCCTACCATTTTACTCGGATCTATTGAAGACGGTATAGCCATCAGAACAACAGGTTTAATGACTAGACTGGCTGAGAAGTAGAAGGTATTGTAGTGTCTAATGACACAGGCCATGCAATGATAGCAGACGGCACACAGCAATGATGATGCAAAATAACGGCAGGAAGGGGAAGATTGCAATGAACAAAATCTATGAACATGGGCTGTGTGCTCCTGAAAATGGTGACCCCACTTGTCAAAACGTAGGCTTGAGCTCAAAACCCCTGTTCATGGACTTTTTCAAAGGAATGATGGTGGTGCTACAGTGACATACTTGTGCGTAAATTTTCATACCAGCATGCCTAAGCAGCGTTGCAGTTTGCTTGAACGGTTACTGATGAAATAGTTGTCATCATTTAAAGTGATCACATGGTGAAATGTGGGACATGCTGTAATGTTAGGGAAATGAACACTTCATGGCAAAGTATTATGCAGCAATTTATTTTTTAATCTATAGCAAGAAATTTTCTCTTACAATAATTTGTCATCTCCAAAACAGGGAAATAGACTAACTGATTCAAGTTTAAATATGTATCTGCATAAGCAAAACTACCTTACACATCATTGCAATATGCTCAGACTCAAAACAAAGTAATTACTATCTACATAACATTTCGGCAACTTGAAAGAAATCACTTGCAAAACATTTGCATCTTAGTTTCTTACACTTTACCTGTTACTGATAATAATTGTCAGCGTTTAACATCCCAAAACCACCATATGATTATGAGAGACGCCGTAGTGGAGAACTAAAGCAGGTTTGACCACCTAGGTTTCTCTAACGAGCACATAAATAATTTAAGCGCATGAACTTTGTCCTCCATGGAAAATTGAGCCAATGCGGCCAGGATTCAATCCCGCAACCTGGGGGTCAACATTGGAGCACCATAACCAGTAGACTACCGTGGCAGGTCCACTTTGCTGGTTGTCTTACCACTGGTTGGCCACTATTTGTCACAAGCCTAGATCCTGTGACTGGCCGACTTTTCCGAAAGCTTTGAGTAACTACAAAACTGCGCGAAAAAGCGACAAGAAACAGAGAAGGCACACACACAAGCGCAGACTAGCAACTGAAAATTTATTCAAGGATACACATATATAACTAGCAAAAAAATATATATATATGACGTGAAAGATTAGAGGTTGGCAGTGAGATAATTTATCTCTAGTTGGTGCAAATTCACCAAAGGCCTCAAAACACACGTGTTGCCATAGTTGTGTATATAAAAAGCCTCAGCAACTTCTCTCGCTGTCCTATTCCTGTGCCGGGTCAACACTCTTGTTTCGCGAAGTGATGAGTAACACTTGCAATCCCTGCAATGTAGGCACGGATTCGATGAAGGGTGGGCCTTCAGTGATGCCCTGTGATCCAGTAGTCTGTTATTCAAACACCTTCCAGTTTGCCCAATATAGCACTTACCACATGACAAGGGGATAAGATACACTGCAAAAGGATCAAAATGTGGGCCAGTTGGTAATTCATTTTCTTCGTTCAGCGAACTGGGAGCGCAGAGAAAACACAAAGGACGAAGCGAGGAACCACACAACACGAGCGCTTGTGTTGTGTGGTTCCTCGCTTCGTCCTTTGTGTTTTCTCTGCGCTCCCAGTTCGCTGAACGAAGAAGATAAGATACACCGCACCCATTCCACATTCAACAAACATTTCTCGGTGATTTACCTCCCAATCACAGCACTTTTTTTCTTTGCTCTCAATTTTGTTGAATGGGGAATGGGTGCAGTGTATCTTATCCCCTTGTTATGTGGTAAGTGCTATATTGGGCAAACTGAAAGGTGTTTGAATAACAGACTAATGGATCACAGGGCATCACTGAAGGCCCACCCTTCATCGAATCTGTGCCTACATTGCAGGGATTGCAAGTGTTACCCATCACTTCGCGAAACAAGGATGTTGTCCCGGCACAGGAATAGGACAGCGAGAGAAGTTGCTGAGGCTTTTGTTTATACCCATCTATCTTCTATGTGCGCATTCAATTATTTGCTCTCACTCTCTTCCTAACTCCTGAATGTTCCTTTGCATTACACTCTACCATTGCCTGGTTTTCCTCTCTGGCCTTTGCCTCCCGTCCACAAGTACACGAAACCCAAGGGTTCCTTTGACCTGCCACTTCTTCCCTTTTAGCCATAAATGTTCCGTGCCACTCCTGCTTGACCCTTTTGCCAGTCTGTACTTTTATGAATGAATGCCCCAATACCACCCCCCCTTCAGCTGCCTTCTGTTCTATTACAATTATTCCCACGCACATAGTCCGGATTGTTCGGAGGTTGTCCATGTCCTGAGATTGGTTTCTACAAAACTGTATACCATCGCCTCTCTTCCCTTAGCTGTTTTCGTCATCTTCTTCCCACTTCAGTCGTTCCTACCACCCTGCATTGTAATTATACCCTATGTCTGAATGGGCTTCGGCACTCGTTGGCTACGTCTATTTATGCCCCGGACTCTACCTATCTTAGACATTGGTGCCACATTGGAATCGTATCTGTCCATAACACCTGTCGAAGAGTCTCCCTGGTTGTTTTCCTCGTTACTAGTTATCCTGCACACCAAAGGGCTCGCTTGCCCCCAAAAAAAGCTACTGCGCGTCCTGCAAGTCGCCAACCCACCTCACGACCTAGCCGCCCATCGAAGTGAATTCTGTCTCGTTGAAAACCACCCCACCTATGCACCTCTCTGTTTATTTCCATCACCTCAAAGCCTTTCTCTCGACTCATCCGCCATATCTCTTGGTTTGCGTTGACAACCGCTCTTTGCAGGTTACTATCACGCATCGGTACCTCCGGTATCGTGCATATCACTACCTGTATTTTAGGAGAAGTGGCGCGCATGTCATCGACGCCTTTCGCCAGTGTGGCTGCTAGTCCTGCTGTATCTTCATTTAAGACATCATTTAAACCGCCTGAAATTATCACGAGGTTTCGTCTATCAGCTATAGTATTGAGTTTTGCGCTCGCTTGCCTCATGACTGCTTCAAGCTTGCGTCCTGGGAACGCCCCTACTGCAACCCTCTTGTCACCTCTTACCTTCTCTCTGATGGCTTCTGTGCATCGACTTAAATTCGAGTCCCCGACAATTATCACATGCTGTGACTTTTCAACTGGAGCGTACAGGAACCTGGGGGCTACTTGCACCTGTGACGCTGGCTGCTTTGTCCCCTCCCAGCCCCATCACTACCTCGCTGAAGCTGGGCCTTGCGACAGTTGAACCGGTTAAACCTGTTTTTTCCAAACTTGCTTGCTCTTCCTTCTCCACCGTTCTGGTTGCCGCTTCTCTACTGTTCTCTCCGTAGGCCGCTTCTTTGTTCAGCTTCGCTAGTGCTTCCTCGGTGGACTTCAGTCTTTCTCCCATTGCCCTCGTTTTCTCTTGCTCTGTCGCCAACGCAGTCTCGAGCTCATCGATCACCAGCAGTTCACTTTGGGCAACCATCATTTTCTCCATTTTTTCCTCGACCTCACATTGCCTACACTTCGCGGCAGCCTCTTCTCCATCCGCTTCTACGCTTGTGTCCACTTTCAAACCCACTCCACATCCTGAACACTTTACAGTCTCTTTAACCATGTCTTTCTGACATCAATTATCCCTATACTCGATAATTACTAAACTCGAGCCGTGCACTACGAAAAAAAAAAGAAAGCCTAAGCTCTACTACAAAAATTTGCGTGTTCAATGTACGCGCACCTCCCCCACGGGGTGGCGAAAGAAAAAAAACAACAAAAAAATTTCAAACACACACACTTGCACTAACTAATAAATACCTGGTGACTGGCCCCCGAAAAAGCCGTACCATAAAATAAATGCTACGAATATTTCAACCGCTGCCTTATAATTATAAAGACAAGCTCAAAACATGCAAAAACACTTATCTGCGCAGTCGATCCGGAGCTCGAAAAACACGTCCATCCACCGTGACAGCTCGAACATCCGCCGCAGCCAATCAGAATGCCATGCAGCGGAGGCGCGGTGGTGGAGCCGGTGTACGATTGGGAGAGAATTACTGACACGTCATAGCGACACATGCGCAAAAGCGCGAGATGCCCGCCTTTTCTGCCGCGCGGCGAGACAAAGGAGGCATGCGGTCTGAACAGGTTCTTGCACTCGCCGCCTCACCTTTATTATTTACACCAAACACTCCATTCAGCATTAAATGAATTGTTGATTTATGTGTGCCATCACAATACTTTTTCATCCCGTTTGCGGTGCATTTCGTGTATTCCTTTTTAGGTTCATTCATTTAATTTTTTTCTCATGTGAGTTAATTAGTATAAGGTATCATTACAAGCATTGAAATCTTCATTATTATTGCTATGGCACTTAATTTTTCATTATATACTCGCTTATTTTGCATGTGTGCTTCAATTTTGAATAGTTTTATTGTCATTACCCACCTTGCCACTCATACGTTCTGTATGCATGTATACTGCAATTTTACTTCTGATTTTATTATTCTTTTATGTATGTCATAATGAAAGATCCCATTGCAGTGTTCACACTAAGGAACCTCTTTCTGTACGTTTCTCCCCATATGTAACCCTTAGAAGTACGTTCAATAAACTGAAACTCAGTCCCATTGCAGGTCAGGCATGCCTGGAACTTAGTCGGGAAAAACCGAGTATGAAGCAAGTGGAGTCAAATACTTCTAGCTTTCTGACTACGTTACAGAACGTCGAAGCTGCTCTGACAAAACATATATTGTACCTCACGCAAGTTTCCACCGGTAAGTGGTGCAGAACACTCATTGAAAACACTCAACATTCACATTCAACATTCAACAAACATTTCCCAGTGATTGACCTCCCAATCACAGCACTTTTTTTCTTTGCTTCCAATTTTGTTGAATGGAGAATGGGTGCAGTGTATCTTATCCCCTTGTCATGTGGTAAGTGCTATATTGGGCAAACTGGAAGGTGTTTGAAGAACAGACTAATGGATCACAGGGCATCGCTGAAGGCCCACTCTTCGTCGAATCTGTGCCTACATTGCAGGGATTGCAAGTGTTACCCATTACTTCGCGAAACAAGGGTGTTGTCCCGGCACAGGAATAGGACAGCGAGAGAAGTTGCCGAGACTTTTTATATACACAAATATGGCAACACGTGTGTTGCGAGAGCTTTGGTGAATTTGCACCAACTAGAGATAAATTACCTCACTGCCAACCTCTAATCTTTCACGTCATATATTTTTTTTTTGATAGTTATATATGTGTATCCTTGAATAAATTTTCAGGTGCTAGTCTGCGCTTGTGTGTGTGCCTTCTCTGTTTTTTGTCGCTTTTTCGCGTAGTTTTGTAGCTATGAATTACCAACTCTCCCAGCGTTCAGTACTCTTAAGCTCTGAGTGCTTGCAGCTAACACTTCCCCAAACGGGGTAACCAGATGCAGCTGAACTCAAGGTGCTGCTGAACGATAATAAATTATTAAATCTGAAATGTAGGGAGTTATTGCAGGTTTTTTTTGTAATATCTTATGGGGTGCAGTGTTAATAGTCATCTCATGTCCGTAACTATTTCTTTTCTTTTTTTTTTTAGTACAACCGCACGAAGGCTCAAGCTACGCAGCACAGAAAGTATTTCACATGGCTCTTCATCGACTTGAGCATGCCCGTTCACGCATGAATGAACTAGAACGCCTACGACACCAGCAAGAACAGCCACAACAGCCACCCCCGATGCAGCAACAAATGCAACAACCACAGCAGGAGCAAGATTCCTAAGGCACTGGTAGTGGTGTGTGCGCTCTAAGAAAACTGTGTGTTGTGCACACGAAGTTAATCTGAAAAAGTGGCAGTGTACATGTGAAGAAACCGTGTCAGTCCAGCTAACTGGAAGACATATAAGCCTCATTTGTAAAAAGTGCTCAGTTCATCACTGTGCTCCTATTTAAAGCTTTATTAATGTGTGTTTTCGAGGGCCAGTCAGCTTTTATTAAACCAAACAATTCAAGAAGTTGTATGGCTCCACTATTCATGTGAATTTAATTTACACAGCAACCGAGCATCCCAAGCTTGTTTCATCAATTGACAGCCTACCTGCCAGGAGGAGAGTCGAGACATAACTGAGAAGCACTTGCTATGGTGTATATCAGATCAATATTAATTGGCCATTTAGAGCCCGGTCACACTGTGAAGTCTTAAAGCATGGTAATGCACGAAATACATAGAAGTGTATTTCTTGTTCTGATATGCACTGATTGAGCTTGATACAATATACATTGAAGGTTTTACACGTTTTGACATCCTTGCTGAAGCCCTTTGTACATCGTACCAATGAGTAGTCTTTTTAAGCAAAACTTGGGTGGCACAGTGTGCCGTGAAAACAATTTTCTTCCGCCACCTCGCCCGGTGAAAACTTCCAGACTTTAAATAAACTTTATTCATTCACAAGCTCCGATACAGACCACCCAACAGTAATTTGGATTATGTATTCTGCAATCTAAATACTAAATCAGCAGTCTAGACAGGTTTTGCTTAAATGTACATTCTTTTGTTATCATATCACTTAAAATACATACTGCAGGCAATAGTTCAGCGGTTGCATCCAGCTGAAAGTGGTGTATGAAAATTTGCACGCCATTGGGCACCTCAGAACAGCCTAGCTATGGTACAATTCGTTGCTGTTCTTTATATGTGACAGTACCCGGTCACGTTACTCTTCAATAGAACACTTCACACAGGATGTGCATTCTGTGCACTTCAAATCATAGTGGCTGCCATTGCGCTTCAGATGAGAAAAGATTTGTTCAAATTCATTAGAGATGTCATTTTTATTTATTCTGTAATTTCTTGCAATTCTTTACTAGTATTCACAGGTTTTACTGAATGAGACGTATTACACATTGGCAAGTTCAACAATTGAACATGACATGTACCTAGAGAATCGAAGCCTGGGAAACGGCCACATGGGAAGCTTCCCAAGATGAGCACCAATTTCATGAAATTTGTTATCAAAATCTATTTCAAAGAGCATTGTATTCTGCTCTCTGCTTTTTTTTATTTCACATTTTGCTAAGGCTGCTTGAAGGGATACTGACACAAATATTTTGGCCTTGCGTTATTCTACTACAATATGTTCCTTGGGGCCTGTTAGTCATCACACAACGCATTGTTTCCTGTAGTGGGCAACAGTAATGATGAGCTCTTCAATACCAACCAGTGCCAGTTTCAATTTAAAAAGGACAAGCCTCCGGGTTCAATCACCACCACCTAGCGGGTGAAACTTTCAACCACGGCAGCAGACAGAATTGTGAAGCAACTCCGCACAGCCCTCATCAAGGAGTTTTTCGAACACAAAATGGCACTGCAGTGCCGCCATACAGAAATGTTTCAATGCGTGCCCCGTGGCCACGTTCTTGCAAGCAGCTCCCAAGTACTAGTCTAAAGGTAGTATCAGAAAAATGACGGCTACGACGTTATCAAAACTCCTAGCAATGTAGTCACACGTTTATTAATGTAAACGCCAGAAGTTTGCTGAATAAAGCTGATGCAGTTGAAGCCGCAATCCTGGAGCATGAACCGGATATAATGGTCGTAACAGAGACTTGGTTACACACGGATGTAGCAGATTTTGAAGTAACACCTACAGGTTACACAATTGTTAGAAAAGACCGGCAAGGAAGAGGTGGTGGAGTTGCGTTTCTTATTAAAGACAACATTAGGTTTTCAGTGTTGGATGATAAATATGACATAGAAATGTTGTGGATTAGGTGTGGGTTCAGCGAGCGAACTGTGTATATTGGAGGGATTTATAGAGCGCCAAATTCCTCTCTTGATATAATCGCAAAGCTAAGAAATTTTATGGATTCTAATTTTAGTCTCCAAGATAACGTATTATTATTAGGGGACTTCAATCTTCCGGATATTAATTGGCTATCCCAGTCTCCTGGATCGGAACAGGTTGCAAGTGCTGAGCAACTACTGGAGCTGGCATTCTGCTATGGGCTAACGCAAACTGTCACTGAACTTACTCGGATAGGGACTACAAGGTCATCTATCCTTGATTTGGTTTTTGTGTCCCCAAAGCTGTTGCCGTTACTCAGCCGTTGTGAAGTTGTAGAAGGCCTATCCGACCACAGAATGGTAGTAACTCACCTAGCATTGTCCCCAGACACCTTGGGTAAACCCACACTTAGCACTGTATTGAATTTTATGGCGGCTGATGATGTGTCTATTCTGGACTATCTTGAAAGGTCCTTTGATGAATTTCAGGTCCTTTACAACACTGACTGCAGCACTGATAGGCTATGGCATTTCTTTTCAACTGTTGTAGGGAAGTGCATAGACAGCTATGTACCTAGGATTAGAAAACGCATTTGTAAAACCAATCCCTGGATCACCAGAGAAATCATTCACACAAAAAGAAAACTAAAACGGAAACAGAAATCATGTGCAAAAAATTGTACCCCTGAAGGAACAGCTTGCATTTCTTCAATGAGACAAGAACTGAAACGTCTGATCAAGCAGTCCAAGGATCGGTTTTTCAATGTGACATTGACGAAATACTTGAAGGAAGCCCCCTCAAGGTTTTGGCGCTTTGTAACTCCCCCAGCAAGCTCTCCGAGGCCACCTGAAATTACTCAACAACGTGTTGATGATTTCAATTCTTTTTTTGCTTCTGTGTTTACTCATGATAATGGCATTTTGCCCGAGTTTTCTACGTCACCATTGCAGCGGCCGATCGATGATGTGGTAATTAGCGAAGAGGGTGTCCTAAATCTTTTACTTAATATAAATACAAGAAAAACCCCCGGCCCTGATGGTATACCAAACGAATTTCTGTACAGATACGCTGAATGGGCGGCTCGCTTCCTTACAAAAATATTTCAGTCGTCCCTGCGCAGTGGCTCTTTCCCACTAGCGTGGAAGCAGGCTAAAATTACCCCTGTTCACAAAAGTGGCTCCTCTCGAGACGAGCGCAACTACCGTCCTATTTCGCTTATCAGTACATGTTCAAAGATACTCGAGCACATTGTTAACAAACACTTGATGTCCTATCTTGATACGCACAATCTATTATCTTCGAAGCAGCATGGCTTCCGCCGAGGCTTATCTACAACAACTCAGTTAATCGGATTTGTTCATGATCTTTCAAAAACAATCAATTTGCGTGGTCAAACTGATGTGGTATATTTGGATTTCGCAAAGGCATTTGATAAAGTGTCGCACTCAAAGCTCCTGTTTAAAATTGACAAAACGTTTCAAAATAGTCACTTGACAAAATGGTTTTCATCCTATCTCAGCTGCCGTCAGCAGTTTGTTCAAATAAAAAATAAACAGTCTAGAGCAGTTGCAGTGAATTCTGGAGTTCCCCAGGGGAGCGTGCTGGGTCCCCTTTTATTTTTGTTATATATAAATGACCTACCAAACCGCGTTACGGTCCCGATAAGGTTGTTTGCCGATGACTGTGTTGTTTATAGTAGAATCGAGACTGAACATGACCAAGTTAATCTAAACAACAATCTTCAAAGAATAAAAGATTGGTGCGAAGAATGGCAAATGAGTTTGAACACAGAAAAAACAGTCTTTATGACTATAACTAGAAAGAAAGCACCTCTAGATTACAACTACCAGATTGGCAATGCTTTCCTCAAGCGTGTACAAAACTATAAATATCTTGGGTTATGGTTCACGCCCGACCTCCGGTGGAACACTCATATTGATAATGTATGCTCCAGGGCTACCAAGGCATTGTATAGCCTTAGACGTAACCTTTATACCGCCCCATCTGATATAAAGTGTCTTGCTTACAAAACTCTTGTCAGACCCATTATCGAATATTCTAAAATTGTCTGGGACCCTTACACAAAGACAAACTGCAATAAAATAACAAAAATACAGCGACTTGGTGCGAGATTTATTTTTAATAAATATAGCCGACATCATTCTCCTACTGAACTCTGTAAAAAAGCTGGACTGGATAGTCCTGAACTTAGGACGAGGATTGAGCGTCTGAAATTCCTCTTCCAGTTAATTCATAATCAATTTAAACTAAACTATTCAGATTACTTCCAGGTCAACACACAAGAACACTCCAGACATCGCCATAATATGTATATACCACCCCTAGTCCCACGTAACGATTGCTTTAAGTTCAGTTACTTTCCACGTGCTATTGAAGATTGGAATATGCTGCCAGAGTCTATAATTGGTTGTTCCTCGCTTACATCATTTGAACAGAATCTAAAACGTTTATTTTCCGAATAACAGTGACATATGTTTTTTTTGCGTGTGTGTCTACTTTTTGTTGGTTGCATGATCCTGCAGTAGTTGTCTTTCAAATCTTCAGCGCGGTGCAAAAGTGCCGCCTCAAATGCGTCATGTGCTGTTCTGCGCGTATGTATTGCATCGCATGTGTGTTCCATTTATGTATGTTATGTATAACTTCGAGTTGCTGGTCACAATAGTACCGAGAAATTATCTCGAGACCTGTATGGTACTTCTTTTTTGCAAATAATTGTTTGTACTTCCACCCTGTAACGGCCCACTTCTGGGCTAACAGTATAAATAAATGAAATGAAATGAAATGAAACATAAGGAATATGGGGGTCACCAAGGGTCACCTTTAAGGATGTCAACAGTGTGAGAAAGTCGATAACTCACACCAACTTCAAAATTAATTAAGCCTGAAGAGGTTCAAAAAGAAGAATGCTGGAGCAAAGCTCTCACCTCTTATAGAAAATATGAAGCCAGCATCTGTACGTACATTAGCTTCATAGCCTTCTAATGTGATTCTTAGTTACAAAGTGATCTTGTTCTGTTAATGTAAATGCTAGGTTAATTATACAAGATCACTGTTCCCAACTAAAGTAGTATATAAACATATGTACGGATAATGCAACTCAAAGTAAAATTTGTGAGGACTCTAAGGCTTTTTAATTAAGACAATTAGTAATGCAAAAAGGCATGTGCAGCAGTATCTGTTCATAGCAACTGACAGTCTTAAACTCACAGGCTGTGTGGGTGAATTGCTACTCTTTAATTTTATCGTGCCTGTGGTAAGATGGTAGAGATCTGGCTTCACTTTTGGGCGTCCACTCCAGCATTTTCTTTAAAACACTTGTGATTCTCGCCATACTTGGTTGCAACCCAGAAAAAAAATGGCAACTTTGCACACAGAACCAGGACACTCCTGCCCTTCACCCATAAAGGACAGTCATACTAGCTGGTTTTCGCTCAAACTGTAAGTACTTTTTTTTAGCTAATGTCAACACTAAGGACATTAATAGGACCCTAAAACTGTTTTTCGAATTTTTGTCAGCTTTTAGGCTAGTACATCATCAAACCGTCCGCATCACAAGTTTAGTTGCACGCCGTGTACCAAGGCCGCTACTGACAATCATATTATACCCTCTGCCTGGCCTCCTCAGCTCATGAGGCACGCTGGCAATCGCAGAGCTCTCATTAGCGCACTCGATGATTTCAGCTTTTACCAGTCTAGACCTCCGAGATTGTACACCGACAGGTTGTGTGCAGTCTCGAAGGCCATCACACAGCACGCACGCCGTCTGGCAAGAGAGACGAAAATCATGGAGTGGTTTATATCTACTCCGACAGGTGCAGTCACCCTACCAGCGGATCTTACATTTGGGCATTCTACAGCCCATGAAAGCCAATCAGATCAGCGGCCACTGTGAACTCAAGTGGCTAGAGCATGTCGCTCTGCGAATGGGCGGTTTAAAACCCATTTGGCCGAGTTGCAGCGATTCGCAGCTTTAAGGCATTGTAATAAATTATGAAGTTTATGCAGAGAGCTCAAATTCATCTCTAAATAAACTTTAGGACTTGGTCTATTGGCGCAATGTGTTTATACAAAATCGCCAAAACCGTCTCAGGGTCCCTTTAAGGGTTAAAGGTTCACTGTTACCACCCAAAACATGTTTGGCTGCACGGGGATGTCAGAATCCATAAGTAAATTTACCAGGACGTTCATGACCTGCAGCCCGTGGAAATGTGGGTCTGCATGGAAAAGTCAGCTATCTGAAAACGATCGTAAAGTGCTTGATGTCCCTAATGTGAGGAAGCGCTACAGCAAAGAACGCTGACATAAATTTTAGCGTTAGCTGTGAATGGAGCTGACTTTTTTTTTTTTTTTTTTCAGAAGTTGTAACTAAGTATGAGAGTGCACATGCCCTAGGACAGAATATTTATACAATTGCACCGTGCATGCTAACATATAAATTAAAAGCCCTGCAACACTTTTCCAAGTAACCATCAAATGGCTCCATTGTAGGAGTGTATTACTTCATTAATTGACCACCTCAAAGACTTCTAGCATGTGCCAAGTGCGAGAAGTGTCATGAAGACTTGAGGCACACTGTAATTGCTGTCTCTCAAGCTGATGAGCATGCTAGAAGCTAAGCAGGGAGGGATGATACGATGAAAAGAAGCTCCTTCGCGGTTATTACCTTGAGCTCTTTTTTTTATTATATTCGTATGAGTGGCTTACATTTAGTGTGATAGCGAGTGCGTGTGTGCCTATGGCAACATCTTGCAGTGGCCACAGTAATTATGCAAGGCTCAAATTAACAGACGGCTGTAAGGCTTGGGTGTACTGGCACAGTAATTTGGGTATGTGGCAGCATTTGCAGAGCTAAGAAGGACCAATTTACAGCCAACTTGGAAAATGCATCATTAATTCCAGGCTGTGTGCTGCTCTTTAACGCTTGGCTCCGCATGTTCTTGGGAGCCTTGACCACCGATCGGCAGCGTTTTATGACCACATTCAGAAGGTGTGGCAGGGCCCCTTTACATTGTGCACTAACTGACAAATTGTAATTAGTGACACTTATTGACATGTGCTCCAGTGAGTAATGTGTTTCTGTGACAATACATTTCAACTGCATTTCCTTTTAAAATTCATTTTGAATTGCAAGTGGCAATGTCTGCTGTCTTTTTTTTTTTTAACACAGGGGGCACATTCACTGACTGACGCCCTCTACTCAATGTGTCGTCACACTGTCCAATGAGGGTGCATTTTTGCTGCTGCTTCTGCTGCTAGCTTGAGTCGCTGTCTTCAGAGAGCTGTGGCTCCTCAATCTTGGCCCTTTTAGAGGGTGCCAGCTTGCCCACGGCCTTAGTGAGACGCTTGCTTGGGAACAGCTTGGGTTTAGGTGGCGCCTGGCACGCCTCCAGATATTGCTCCATACGAGTCTACAGTGGTGCGAGAAAAAAAAAGTGCAGCATTAACGGCACTAAACTGGGAGATATTTTGTAATGAGCCCACTTTTGTGTGCTACCTTGAAAAATGCTAAATGAAAGGAGACTTGAACTTCTCTTTAAACAGCCATAGTGGTAAAACACATGTCACACATTGAAGTAACATTACTAGAGCAAATGTTTCCTGGGAAGGCTGTTTGTAAGCTCATGAAGTGTCATTACATACTCGACTGAGTGACAGTTTGAGGCAGTTCGTGAAACATCTATTATCTGATGGGGCCATCTATACACTGAAACAACATTACAATAAACTTGTATCTTACATGAAAATATGTTTGTTATAACCGAAAATTCGTTTAAAGGTTTATTCCTAATATTATATCTATTACAAAACTACTTTTAATTTACTTCATATAATCGATATTTCATTATATCCAGTTTCATTATATCGAGGTTTGAGTATACTCTGATTTGGTTAAAGTATAGTTTAATGTTTTTTTGTGAGACATATGTAGCAACTAAGCTAATAGACTCATTGTAGCTCTTGTTTTATGATGCAGCAAACTAGTAAAATTAGTCCACAAACCTTTTTAATGATGCAAAACCTTTTTCATTTCTAACCTAAATTTTTACTATAAGGTTCCTTAAAGCACAATGACAGTGAAAAAGCTGCTATCTTGCCTACAAGCATTTATTACCCTAATAAAGATGATTATCGTAAAGATAGATTTTCGGCAAAAGATTTATAAAATATAAAGTAGTAAATTTTGTAGCACCATTCTATAATTATGAAATCGAGGCATCAACGGATGCTCGTCTGGTCGGGAAGAATGATTAAATAAAAAGACAACAATGCCAACCACAACACGAGAAACGATATAATGACGTTTTGGCATCCAGAACGGGAGCCTTGTTCACAAGGTCACTTTAAACAAGGCTCCCATTCTGGGTGCCAAAACGTCATTATATCTCTTATTCTGTTATGGTCAGCGTTTTCGCCTTTTTAATCACCTATATTTTAATGTTTGTTCCCACATTTTCTACAAACTGAGTTTGTCGCATTTAGAAAAAGAAAAAACACTCAGCACCACAAAGGCACACTTCAAATTAGGAAACATAAAAAGCACGTAAATGTTTCTAAAAAAATAATGTAGAGTTTCCTCTCACAATGCTTGTAATTACATCGCTGTGTCTAAAACTACGTCGGACGTACCTGAATCACAAAAGCTAGAATTAAGTCGGACGTACTCGAAAACTAGAAGAGTCTAAAGTTATGGGACGTACTTGTAACCGGTAGTCTGAGAATAGGTCGGACGTTGTGCTTTCTCGCTAGCTTGCACTCTAGTGACTCCAAGTTCAACCAGCCAGTTCCGCCCATTCATCGTTAGTTCACCCAATTGACCTTCTGGACTCACGGAAGTGCAGATCAGAGAGTCTAAAGATACGTCAGCTGTTGCACTTTCTCGCCTTCTCAAGCTTTCTTATACATAACTATAATAGCTCTTGATTTTTAAAAAATGAACAAAAAAAAAAAAACAAAAGCGGGCTCACGCGCGCTGCTTAGTTTTTGAGACACGGTCACAGTTGTGGTTTTAAAGAGCGTCGAGTGAGACGACACTCAAAATGAATTCCATGAAAATTCGGCTGGCTACATGGCGACACAAAATTATGTTCACATGAGCACCGCACAGACAATATTTTGCAGCAGAGGCCCTGAGTGTTGCTATGATCTCCTGTCAGGAGGTTGCAACTATATAAGCGTGACCCCTCATAAATGCACTGCCGGGGCAAACTACCGGGCGAGTCTGCCCGTACTTTCCATTGAAAAGAACACTCACAAGGATTGTGGCAGCTAACAAAAACTTGTGACACAGACAGCGGTTCGTCATTTACAAGAAAACTGAAGGCACATTTCGCATGTGTGCAGCGGGGAGGTGACATGACACATGCTTTAAATCGGTTTCATATATGTTCTAGGCAATATTATCTATCAATATTATGGTCCACACAAACCTATCCTACAAATTATCACACCTTCAGTTTTGTGTCAGTAGTCCCCTAAGGTGTGGCATTCACACCGGCGAGTCTACTACTAGAACCACCGACTGCGACGCCATTTGTCAACCACGCGATGCTTAAAGTTTTCTGTTGTCATCGGGAGTGCTCGCCCGGCTCGTTCCTTATTGGTCTTTTGCGTTGAAGTCATACAAAGGCTCATTTCTTTGTATATGTGCCAAAACCGGTAGGCGGTAGCCGCGACCCACCTTGCAACTGGTGCGCTCCCATGACATCCCGACGGCCGTTATATCTCCAGCTTTAGGTAATCCTGTTTGTCCGACGCACATCTAGTTTTTGGGATTTAGGTATGTCCGATGTACCTTTAGACACAGCGTTATAACAAAGCCTTAGTAACATAACTGCTACTCAATCTTGTCGCACTACTCAGTGGTCTGCTACTTATTTTTTTTTTTCTTGACTAATTGCCACAAAAGATCTAACATAAAAAAAATTATGCGTCAAAATCTACTGTTGTCAAACTATTACCACACCACTGATATATCTGCAGGAACTCATGATATATTTGCAATGCACTCATGGAAAACTGAAGGGCTTGCCTGTTTTTGCTTTACACCCATACGCTTCAGCACTGGCAATAAAAGGTCATCCAGCTTTTCCTGGCTCCAGCCAAGTTTCTGGTTTGCATAAGTGCATCGTGTGCAGTCAAAGATATTTCATACCAATGAGTTACTTCGACACAACAGAATTGTTGTGGTTCAATCCTGTAAAAACGGTTATTCTTAACTGCCATCAGTTATTAAGTGTTGGGCTGTAGGACACTTGCTAGGCAAAATATAAACACCAAATTTGCCAAAAAGACTTCATGGTTATAAAAAACTTGGGATAAACATAAACACAAAAACATGGGGGTGTCTTTTTCAGAAACATCGTGTCAGTACGTATTAACCAGGCCACAAGCAAGTTCTCCTGGATCTTGCAGAGCCAGTAAACATCATTAATGGATGTACATTCAACTGCCAACATTTCTGCAAGAGCTACGATTCTTTAAATTGTGCATGAAAGATTAATCAGTATAATTACTTATAAATGAATTGAAATGCTTAATTTTAATTCATAAAATTCTGAAAGAACTTTTCAATTTCAACGTCAAAAAGCTTTTTGTGGCCTTGTCCCAATATTCAAAAACTTTGAATACTCAAACAAGTATTATGATATTCAAATTCACTTCAGTTTGAATTTAAATTATAAGAAAATTTGAAGTATTCAAATGAACGAATAGGCATATATTAGTCCACTTGTAACTTGCCTGTAAAGGTGGTTTCACTACAGTGAAGAGACATAACTGCACCTATCCAAAAAAAAAAAAAAACCTGCACTGCAGCGAAGCCCCACTTCAAGGTTTAATAAACGCCGGCAATACATATCACCCTCACGTCGATTCATCGTTTTTTTAAGCTTGAAAGCTTGTTATACCGGTTTACGTGTTCAAAGTACAGTGAACTTCAAAACGTAACATATTTTATGGGTTATCACTCACATTCTACCGAAAGTAAAACCCTGCTACCATTGAAGGTTGCTTCAACTTTGAACTAAAAAGAATGATATTTGCACAGGTGTTATTTCAATTAAAATAAATACATAGAGCACATTAGTTGAATCATAACAAATATGGTAATTTTTTCATAATATCTGATATGTACTATTCGAATTTGATTAGAAATGATTTGACCAAACCGGTATTGACTTCTGGTTCACTTCTTCCAGAGCCCTCCACTACGGCGTCCCTCATAATCATATGGTGGTTTTGGGATGTTAAACCCCACATATCAATCAATCAATTCTGGTTCGCTTCGAACCTAAATTGACTGCTTGTAAAAGCTTACTAATACTTTCTTCTCTTCAAATATAGTGCTTTGAGGAGAGTTGAAAAATGAGAAAAATCTTTAAAAGCCTTTGATGGAAGTACAGTCACTGATTGCTTAGCATTAAACATCTTTTATTGAGTGAAGGTACTACTTTTACTATTCAACAGTAAGAGGAGATAGCAGGTGATCAAACATGTAGGTGCCCAGAAGTTGTTCATGAACCTCACGACAGTTCAGAAAAATGTGAATGAAGATGAATGGCAGATACCTAGCATTCTACCTTCCAAAATGTCTTACTAAACACTTCATGCATATTTCTCTCACGTATAACACAGATCCAATCAGAAGTGTTTCAAGATGGATATGCTTTAAACGACATTATACTGGTATTCACGGTTATGCGTGCCCTGGACACATGATTTACGTGCTGGCAAAAGCCTTGAAAGGATATGTCCGCAAGGCATCCAGATCCGGAGTGCCCCAGGAAAAAGTCTCGCGTGAGTCGTCCACGGTGGGCTCAAGGTACGCCTGCGCCACCCGGCTGCTAGGGAAGCCAGGCTCCAGAGAGAGGCGCACCAGGTGCGACCGTGTCTTGCTGCCTGGCTGGACTTTTTCTTCCTTGGCTTTCTCCAGCCATGTGCTGTGAGTCAAGCATAGAGTGATGATGACAGATCTACATTGCCCACAGCACAAAGGCTGCATTTAACGAAAACTTTTGTTCGATGTCTGAAAGCTGTGAATGCTCACAGCACAAAGGCTGCATTTAACAAAAACTTTTGTTCGATTTCTGAAAGCTGTGGTCTGGGAACAGTGACGCTAAACTGGAATCGGTTTGAAAAGTGTTCTTTACGGCATCTGAAGGCGTAAACACACGCGTGTGGGTGTATTAATGTATTTAGCATTAAAAAAACAGTTTCGTTGCTAGGATGAAGCAGTCGATGCAATGGCAACTAACTGAAATGTTATGTACAGTAAGGTTAGCAGCCAGGCTTCTTTAGCATGTGACCCGGCAAAACATGACAAAACGCCAAAGTAAAAAAACCCCGTTGCTGCAACAAGCAAAGTTACGTTCCCGCTGTCTATCACTTCAACACTGAGTTGTGAAAATGCAGCGTGCACCTAGGTGTGAGCTGTCTGCTGATCTCTGTAGAGATAAGATGCGTGCAACTACGTCCAGCTGATAAAAATAAGCAGTTGCTACCGAAGCTACAAGCTACACAGTCCCTCATTTCTATGGGCTTTTTGCAGAACTGATGGCCAGTGCGTCTCATTTCAGCTTCAGCTGCCATTGTTAGCTGCCCTTGCATACTCTCACTAACACAGAGAACATAAAATGCATGGGGCGATGTTATTGCCTTTGAGCTTGATATGGTACCCGACAGCAATGCCACTACTAGCAACAGTAAAAAAGGTGATGAGTACGTTAATGCTGACTACCTGCGAGATATTGAAGCAATGCATAGCTGTAGTAGAAAGTAACCGAGACTCGGCGTAGTCACGGTTAGTGTTCCCATGCAACTTAAGAATCAAGGACACACCGAAATTCGTCCAGGAGCGAAACAGCGTCCCCTCCTTTGAACTCGCTGAGCACCTCCATGGCAGTTACAGGCCCCACACCACTAACGCCTGTAGTGTAGTCACTGCCACACAGCAGAGCAAAGGCCACCATCTTCTGACGGTCGAGGCCTAGCAAAAGAAATAGCACGATTAAAATTAAATATAGAAGCCACCGCAAGTACAGGTATGGTAACAGTTGCACATCTGTGCTAGTGATCCTCTGCTTACGTGACCTTATTGGATACTCACAATTCCACTTGTGTATACAACTCTTTCCAGGACAAGCTTTCACCAGTAAGAAAATGGTGAACTTTGGAATGAATGTACACTAACAAATCCCTTAGAGTCAAAATCACAGCACAGCACATCTCAGATTCAAACTGTGATCTTGGTGAGCAAAACCGTATAATCTTATATCTAGGTCTTCAGCAGCAGAGAACAAATATGTAGCACATGGAATCCATCTATAATGCTCAGCCACTCATCATCAACAATGCTAACAATACCAACATAGGTTTCCATAATAAAGTTATTTGCATCCACCCATATAGGTTTTTGCTGCAGTAGTTCAATAGGTAGCTAAAAACTTTTATAATTAAGTGTCTGACAGTTTGATGATTTGTACAACAATAATGTACAACAACCTCGGAAAGGAGCAGCGCTTCGAGATAGGTAATAGTGCACTTGAAGTTGTAAGAGACTATGTCTACTTAGGGCAGGTAATAACCGAAGAGCCTAACCACGAGGTTGAAGTAACTAGAAGAATAAGAATGGGGTGGAGCACATTCGGCAAGCACTCTCAAATTATGACAGGTAGATTGCCACTATCCCTCAAGAGGAAGGTATATAACAGCTGTATCTTGCCGGTACTTAGCTACGGAGCAGAAACCTGGAGACTTACAAAGAGGGTTCAGCTTAAATTGAGGATGACGTAGCGAGCAATGAAAAGAAAAATGGTAGGTGTAACCTTAAGAGACAAGAAGAGAGCAGAGTGGATTAGGGGACAAACGGGGGTTAAGGATATCATAGTTGAAATAAAGAAGAGGAAATAGACATGGGCCGGGCATGTAGCGCATAGACAGGATAACCGCTGGTCATTAAGGGTAACTAACTGGATTCCCAGAGAAGGGAAGCGGGTTAGGGGGAGACAGAAGGTTAGGTGGGCAGATGAGATTAAGAAGTTTGCGGGTATAAATTGGCAGCAGAGAGCACAGGACCGGGTTAACTGGCGGAACATGGGAGAGGCCTTTGTCCTGCAGTGGACGTAGTCAGGCTGATGATGATGATGATGAGTTTGATGATTTGGGCTCAAGTACACCATGTCAGTACATTCACGTATTGGCTACTCTACGCTTTTCGGGCCTACTGGACGGCCCGGATTTGCACGGCGAGCTTTAAGCTGCGCATGGCAATGTGTGTGCCACATATTTATGGCCAAAAGCTTCTTTTTTTTTTTGTTCTAAAGAAACATTAATGTGGGGCTTTGAACCATAGCTATAAATTCTTGATATCACCTCACAGGTATATTGCCAAGCATGGAACTGAATAGTTGGCCAACCCCTTCCAGCAATAATATATTTTTTTATACAACCTCCAGGCTATGGCTGCAAAAGAAATGAGCATGGCACACACCAAACTGTGAGGCAAGGTCTCTCATCAAAAAGCGCATGGGACGCCGGTCAGGGCGGAACAGGTGACGATAAACGCATTGGGCCCCAAACAGCCAGGCATCGCTGTCATCCGTCACGACCCCTTGGCTAAGTCCGTTCTGCTCCAGCCACGCACACTGGGCTTCTGCCTCCCCAGGGCTCACCACATACGGCTGGCCCAGCAGTGCAAGAAGCTCCTATGTCAAGGCAAGAGATGGGCAGCACATCTCATTAATCAGTGTGAGCCATATTCAAATAATTGAAATGAAGCAAGCTAGTGCCTATATTAATATAGGTAGTGTCGGTAGGTTTCACAAAACATGCTGGAATCAATATTATGTTTCGAAAGTGAAGCCAGACCTCTGCCATTTTACCATAAGCAAGATCTAATGTAAGCTTACAGTGAAGAAAAAGTGCCCACCTGCTCTAGTAGTACAAGAAAGCTAGCTGTTTTAAACAGACACCGCTCAACGTGCCTCTTTGTGTTACTGGTTTCCTTAAGGAGCCTCAAGGTCTTGGTAAATTTTGTTAGGGATTACATTAACAATATGCATCCAGATATGTCACCTTCATTGCAAACTAAGATCTCTTATTTTATAGTTAACCTGGCATTTCCATCAATAGAACAAAAGTACTTTATCTCTAATTCGACATACACAAAAAGTTTATATTTTTCAGATAAATTATGAGAAAATGCTGGCTTCACATATACTGCTAAGTAGCGAGAGCTTCCAATACCCAATCTTCTTGGGTAACTTCAACAATGTACACTACCCTTTCAAGATCGTGATATGAGGCCCTTTCAGAATAAGTGAAATGAGTTGAACTTTGCATTGCTACAATAAATGATGATGCAATTAACAGGGAGAAATAGAAGGGCAGGATGGCAAGTGTCATTGGAAGGGTCACAGTGCTTCCTTGGTAAGAGACAGAAAAAAAAACACAGGCGGTGTCACCACCTTGAATTTTCTGCACCAGCACACCATGATGAGAATTCTAGCGGCACATGCATAGGCCTAGTTAATGTTCTGGACTGCGGTACACGCCGCGTTGGAACTTGGATGTTTTCAAGAGAGAGAGAGAAAAATAAACTCTTCAAAGTTGTGACGTATCACACTACCAATGCTGGAACCCACCTGACATTCCTTCACAAGCAGGTCATTGAGGCTTGCTGCATGGCGTTGTTGGCGAGCCGCCTCTTGTTCCAGCTCCTGCTCTCTCATCTGAAGCTCTCGTTTCTGCATTCAACCATTAAACACACGCATAAGGAGCAGCAACTCGAGTTTATTTAGCACCTAGAGCTTATAGTTGTAAAACATATCATCGTCTAAGGCCTCCGGGATTGCTGAATATAGCCATTATTAGTAGACACTGCATTTCAGTTTGAAGGTATCAATGAGTAAAGATGCAAGGTATGAAGCTGTTATGTCAGCGGCCTTGTGTGTTGCATAGACAAACCTTGGAGTGAGCACGGACTGTTGGCACCAGCGACAGTGTATATCCCTCGATGTACAATAACTCTCGTACATGCTCAACATATTAATATGTACTGTGTAACAGTTGCCAAGTAGCAACTATGTAACACGTATACCACAAGTAAGCAGGCAATGAAGACGTAGTAGAAAGAGCTCCCTTACTTCTCTATTTGTTTTTGGAAGGCTTGATGTACATCACCAGCCCCGATTCACCTTAAAAAACTTCAGCTTAAGCGACGACGCATGCATGCGAACGCATGCATGCGAACGCACACATATGAACGCATGTATGTCAGCAAGCATCACCTGACAAAAGCCATAGGCCCAGATGCTGGTCACCATCAAAACGCTCTGTCATTTCCCCATGACCACAGTCATGCTGCAGCTGACCTGGCTCAGCGATTTCATGCTTGATAGCAGCACGATAGCAACGCACAAGTGCTTCCTGAAGCGGTCTTTTCTATACATCACCGGCTTTATTCTCAATGTAGAAAAAAGACTACATGAGACACATCGGACAAGAAGTAATTCAATCAGTAGTTTCTAAAGGTGCTCTGCAACTCTGCATTCATACTTTGCGTCTTCAGCAATAATGATAAAGTTAAGTCATTTAACATAATAATGAGTTAGTTAAGAGAAAAATTAAAATAACCAGAGTAACCATAGGCATGCGTAAATAGTATGCGCTATGTGCTCGATTCAATGAAATTCCGAAGCGCTCTTTTCAAGTTCAAATTCTTAGCTCAAGTTACGTGGACACGCATTAACAGTGATAAAAAGAAAGCATCACACGCATATGGGCATTATATTAGTGATACTCCTGGCAATCGAGCTGCCATCACAGTGCTTTCCCTGTCCACATTTTTTTAATATGTATGCATGTGTACTAGATATCGCAATGTAAATTTTTACAAAAGCACCTTCTCACAGTTACACCTCATCATTTCTACATTTTAATTCAAAGTAAGTATTTTACCGTACACCTTTCCTTGGTTTTTACCATACACCTTTCCATCAGCAGCCTTGATGTCGCACAACAGTTTGCTGGTATTGACACACAAATTACATGATACACGACACCTCCATTAGACAGGATGTCTTATATCCACCATCATGTGTTCGAGTGGCAAGCATTAGTTTCCCGATTAGGTTACGTTAACAGCAATAAGTAAAGCTTTACTGACAAATTAAGCTGCTGACATTAAGGTATACTTTGCAACTACGAAAATGGAGCTGGGCAACAAAAAGGTTCCATGCCTACACCTCAAGAAAACATTGGTCGTTTAATTATTAGACTACCATACTACAAAGGACAAGTGTATTTAGTTCTCCCAGCATCTTTGCCAACATCCTTTGTTTTTATATGCGAAGCATTTCTTAGCGAACTTTGGCGACTTTGAGCGTGCGTGCGTGCATGCGTATCTATCTATCTATCTATCTATCTATCTATCTATCTATCTATCTATCTATCTATCTATCTATCTATCTATCTGTTTGTCTGTTTGTCTGTCTGTCTGTCTGTCTGTCTATCTATCTATCTAGCTACCTACGACTTTTAGCTCTCCTGGCCGTTTCGATCATGGTATCGATACCAAACTTGGTATGACATAACATGACTGTATGAAGAACATCTTTGACAAGTCATAACATGAAAATCATGACATGTATGTCATGATTTACATTTCATGGTCCAGCAGCTCTTGCGGTGGTTTCTTTCACATGGTATGTTGCAAAACTGGTATGGTATGGCACGATTGCATGGCGAAAAAGTGAGAAACCCTCACATGAAAATCATGACATGTGTGTCATGTAACGACATGACTACATGCCACGCTCATGATGCGGTGGCGCCGTTTCGCTAGCATCACATATACCAAATTTGGTATAACAGTATCTGAATGAATGACGAAGGTATGGAACTGGGGCAAGCATGATAATCATGAGATGCATGTCATGTAACAACAAGACTACATGCTACGCTCAGGATGCGCTGGCGGCCGTTTCACTAGCTTCAATTATAACAAATTTGGTATTACGGGACGTGAATGAATAACGATGGTATGATACGGGTGCAAACATGAGATGTGTGTCATGTAACATGACTACATGCTACGCTCATGATGCGCTCGCGGCCATATCGCTAGCTTCACACGTACAAAACTCGGTATTATGCAATGCGAACAAACGACATAGGTAAATTACACATCCAAACATGATAATCACGACATCCGTGTCATATAACATGACTACATGTCACACTGATGATGCGCTCACAGTTGTTTCGCTAGCTTCACATATGCCAAATTCAGTATTACGTGACGCCAATGGATTACGAAGGTATGCGACTGGTGCAAACATGATAATCATGAGATGCGTGTCATGTGAGAACATGACTACATGCCACAGTCAAGGCGCCAATACATTTCGACGTGACGCGGCGCGCGTGCTCGCCGGCATTGCCCCGCCAGGCGCAGGTTCTGCCATATACTCGCAGGCACGCGCCGCGCTGCTATTACGCATGCACGTTTCAGCGCGTTCGGCGTACCTGCGTCACGAAAAGGGGGAGACGCAGTGTTGTCTGGGTAACACATCGACGCGAAATGCAGCATGTCACATTTTGCACAGGTACACATGGGGTCACGCCGGCGGACACTGGTCGCACCTGGCATCACACTATAGTGCTCACGTTTTGCTAACGTAGCGTCGCTGTGCCTAGCGTGCGCGCGCGTCAACGCTGCATTGGAGTATATTGGGCCCTTCATGATGGGCGCTTGTGGCTGTTTTGCTAGCTCCACATATACTTAATTCAGTATTACGTGACGTCAATGGATGACAAAATATATAACTGGTGAAAACATGATAATGCTGACACACGTGTCATGTAAGAACATGACAACATACCACGCTCATAGCGTACTCGCGGCCGTTTCGCTAGCTCCACATATATTAAATTTGGTATCACGTGAGGTGAATAGATGACGAAGGTAAACAACATATTCAAACATGATAATCGTGACACGGAAGTCATGTACGGCATAATTTACCTCCACCTCGTAACGTTGTGCTGATTTTAAAGTGACATAACATTTTTTATTCGTGCTTCGCATATTATTGATTCCCACTGTTCGTCAGATCTGTCCATTTTTCTTCCTTTTGAATGCATGCTGAATGAAACCTGATGTTAAACACATATCTTATGTAAGACAGTGCCACAAAGAAACTACATCATGATGAGAAAAAAAATTAAACTGCTAAGAAACTGCCCTTCTCACCTCTTCTTCAGTTCTAGGAGGCTTCCAGAAGCTGGTTTTTTCACTGCCACTGCTGGTTGTAGGCTGTTCACCAGTGTCCTCCTTCTGCTGCTCGGACAAGGAGGCCCTAATAGCTGCAAGCAGATCCTCGTCTTTTTCTTCCTCATCCTCGTCTGAGAGCACAATGTTGCCAGCCTCTTCCGACTCTTTAGGCTTCCCAGCGATGTCGAAAGAACTCATTTTCTTATCCTGTGTTCCCGACCCATCTGAAGCAGCATCATTATCTTGTTCAGTCGAGACTTGTTGCTCGTCCGTGCTTTTAACCCTGTCACTTGGGAAAGCCAATCGATCCGCAGATTGTGCTACAGGTCCCTCGGCTACAGGTGTTGTGGGAAGTGACGAGTCTACAGCTAATGATGGCAGTGCTGAGGAAATGTTTGTGCTCTCTTCACTCCTTTCAGGCTGCCTGCGCACTCCGTTGGCTTCTCCAGAGGTGTCCGTAGCATTTGGCTGTGCCTGTTCACTGGCCTGCCTTGCACGACTTGCTAGGCCATCCTCGCGACTCGTATTCTGTTTGCTTGACTCGTCAGATTCATCTGCCAAGTCCACCACCCGCTTGACAGTAGACTTTACGGTTGTGTGGTGTGTTTTGCTGGACTCGGCACCATACAAATTCCTGGTTGTTATAGAACTCTCCTGAGTGGCTTTGTTTGGAGAGCACTCTTCAGAAAGCCACTTTAGAACAGCCGGGTCTTGTATCGACAAAGATGTGTTTTTGCCGACGACGTCACCTGAGCCAGCATCATTCTTTTCTACTTGGCTGGCCGTGTTCTCGTCCTTAGCAGGACAATCATCTGGGAAAAGATTATATAAAAAAAATAAAATTGAGCTGCGCAGCTAAACACCAAGTGTGAGGCGATAACTGTGAACATAAGAGAAGCGGCACCACATAAAGTACTGTAACAGTTTTGGTACTTATGAACCACTAGAATGAAAGCTCAATTGAATATTTTAATGTTACACATTAATGTACTTGATTGCCTAGGTCATCAAGTCACACTTTTGAAATGAGGCAGTGTTACCTTCACTCTGTTACCTTGAAAACTAGAGCAAGCGTCACTACTCCCCCCCCCCCCCCCCACAATTCAGAGAGAGCAGGAAGTCATCGCTATATCATTGCTCTGTTCAAAGCGGAGGGTTATGGCCGAGCAGAATTATGGTGATATCGATGGCCAAAGACCCTAACAATGCAATTAATGAGTGTTTACCTTCCACTTTTACCCCCCAAAAATGGCGATCAAAGGCACTGAGATGAGCAATTGATAATTTCATTTTTGTTTTGCATTCATTTTGAAGCTTTTCTTTTGACCACGTCTTGTGGAAGGAGGGGGCGCTGCACTGAAGCTTCGCTCATGATGATGGAGAACCCTCCCCACAGCTATGTTAAAGGGGTACAGACATAAGACTTTGCAGTTGAGATAGCCTCCAGGATCAATTCCCCTGAACACACATGCCTATATCATCTATTGAATCTCAACAGCAATACAGCATGAGAGATAATTTATATGAATATTGAAGTTTGTGTGCGCAATGCTAGGCTATACCTACGCCTGACCTCAAGACACTGCCATCATCTTAGGTGACCTGAAGGTGACACCCAACTTCCAAGATGTCACCACCTCAGCCAAGTTTCAGGTTGGCACAGCTAGTGTATTGATATCATAGTCCCCACTGCGCTTTTGGTGCGCTTACATGAATTGAAAACAAACATGTAGTTTTTCTTAGATGGCAAGTTTCATCATTAGACTTTGTTTAAAGGAAGAAAATATTCTTATTACCCAATCGACAGCTATCTTGCCATTTGGTTATATGGCAGCTTTCTCAGTGAACTTCCCATTGCCCTAAACTAAGAACTTCAAAAGTTATTTTCCTATAAAAAAAAATGTCATGATAAAACATGAAATGTAATGATAATGATAAAACTAGCACCATGTAAGAACAATTTATTTGCTGTGGATTGAGTTTTAAGGCTCATTTTGTAGCATTATGTGGTGTAAATTGCATCTCACTATGAACGAAACTGTCAATTTTTCTCTTGTAAAATTTTAAAATTTTAGCAGTCTGAAAAAATTTTTGTGCAAAATATTCCTTCGATATAAGTAGTTATTCATTACTTAGATATTCATGCAAAGTGAAATAATACAAGGAAAACATGCCAACATAGACAATTCTGGCAAAATTTTTACAGGACATATGCGGCACAAGAATTGGAGCAATATTATGGAGCTTCGAACAACTTGAACAAATGCATTCACTTGATATGTAAATTAAATGCAACATTAAAACAAAAAACGATACCCTAAGAATAAGTTTTCTGGTAAACAACACTCAGACAACATTCTGCGAAATTCAAGGCTCCCGCACGAACAACAAATTTTTCTCTCCGAAATATTCCAGCAATTCATTGCTTCGAATGCAGTAAATGAGCCCAATTTCTTTGAAATACATTTGTGATGGTCTCCAAAATGGCTGGCATGTTTTGTATGGTATGACCCACTAACAGAACACTCGTGCACTATTGCCATTCAATAATAATGCCACAAGTTTCTTAATGGCAAGATTCCAGTTATCTTGTAGGTTACACTGGTTCAGAAACAAAACAAGGACACTTTTCTGTAAGTACCTATGTAACCAAATAGACAACATCTCAGCAGAACGTCCAGGAACAAAGCGGTCAGTTGCATGTTGTGTCAACAATGTCTATGTAACGCTAATAGCAGCTGCTACACAGCGTGAGCTAATGCAATAATTGCAGGGAGTTTCACATGCCAAAACCACAATACAATTGTGAGGCACACCAAAGGAAAGGGCTCTGAATGATTTCGAACCAACTGGGTTTCCTTAAAGGGACTGCCTACCGTCCTTCATTGCTCTTTCTGTTTTGTGTCACAACAAAAGGTGTGCCATCTGACGTGTCAAACCCTGCAGCTGGTTTCTCTGGAATGTGTGTAGAAAACTTTAAAACAGAATTTCTGATCCACGTTTGGTCTCCTTCCATCTTTCATCTTCCATTTTTTTTCTCTGTGATGAATGTTCACAACACTGGTCGGTAGAGGTGATGACGATTGTACTGTCGATGAAAGTTCGAAAACTGAAACCGTGTATGGTTTTTGCATGCCTCACCAAGTTTTCTTTAATAATAAAACAAATATCTTAGTGATCGTTTAAAACATGCAGATTTTCTTTTGTTCTTATGAGCGATCGTGGCCGCAGTGCTCGCGTTTCTCCGCCGAGTGCAGGCAGGCATGCAAGCAAGCAAACATACAGCTGGAACGCCACCATGTGTCACTTGGAGTGCGTGAGAAAAAAAATTATTCTCTAGCACGACCTAAAGCTGTAAATGCAATTTCAAGCTATAAATCTTTCTTTTTAAGCAAAATGAGTCTACCTTAAGGAATTTTCGGTCCTGCTAGCAGATTGAACCACATTGCTGTTGCGTGACGCTAATGGTTATTCTTTGTTTACTTTCAACATCAGAGTAAAATTGCAATTCGTTTTTATAAAACAAAAGTTGTCAACGATATGATGAACGATCTTCTCATTTTCTGCACACTCAGAAAAATTTTTCCGAGCAGCAGACAGTCCCTGAACTAAAATCGCACAACACATGGGCCTCTAGCCTTGCACCTCCACCACAATGCAGCTGGAGTGGCCAGGATCGAACCCACATCTTTTGAGTCAGCAGCTGAGCGCTGTGAACACAGCGCCAGCCACAAGTTAGTGTAAGCATGTTTTAAAATAGGGGTGTGAAAATATTTGAAAATTTCGAATAACGTATTGGATAGCATTCTGTTCTATTCGGTATTATAGTCAAATAGCGCATATTCGAAATGCCGAATATTTTTTTTAATAGTTTTCGAATAATCAGCAACAACGAAACATGCCTGAAGGATCGAGACAAACCTTCACCCTTCCTGAAGGTAAACCCCACGCACGCTTATGACCATCAGCTTGTCTTATGCCCAGTGCAAGACAAAGGCCTCCCCAATGATCTCCAACTCAGTCTAGTCCTGTGTAGGTCGATTGTCCTGCGCCATCACTGATGTATTCCATATATAAACTACAACTCGATAACACTGCCCGTTGTATCATGTATTCTATATGCAAATGCATTCATTGCTTTGCCCTCGCAGCAAAAACTGCGACTTTTCTTATTTTTGTTGGTTCACCTAACTCTTTATTGTCCTTGGCCAAGCTTCCCAACTTATCTTATCCATTCCAACATTCCAATTGGCCATCTGTTATCTGACCTTCTCGTGATGTGACCCACTCTGGTGCATTTCTTCCACTTAATGTCTATTAGGATATTGGCTACATACTTCGTTTGATCTCTAATCCACTCTATCATCGACGTGTCCCTGAGCCTTATGGCTACCATTTTTGTGCAAGTGAAAAGCAATGGCTCATAGGCGAAATTATTCAACATACCTACATCACCCTGCTCACTTTTCATTCGCAGTGCACGTTTGGTGGGGCTGGTGTTCACAATGACCTGGTGAGTGTTGGCCTGGGAGGCAACTCGACTGACGTGGGCCTCTTCACCCCACAAAAATGGCTCAGGCTTCATTTCTTGACGAGCCTCTGCAGCACGCTGCTGCAGTGTACGCTTGCGCAAAAGGCCCCGCAGCTGGTAGGCAGAGAAATCCTCAGAGTCCTGGGCAAAGAGCAATGACATATCATGGAGCTGAGCTGAATGCCACATAAATTCATCACAATGGCAGCATTGCTCTAGAGTGCTTACTTGGGTCGGTCGGCACATATCTATAAGCCCTGTCCCATGAGCACTTGAAAAATTTTTTGAGCTAGAAGACTTCTTTCGAAAATGCTTCACTCGCAGGCACACACAATCTCTGTTTCACAAGCGGTCTTTCCTGTAAATGGATTCGGTCGATTTATTTCACATGTGTAAGAGTAGCCCTGAAACCAGTGAGCACCAGCAACTATAAACTGGTGGGGAAAAAAAATGTGCATATATTTATTTTTGTCAGCCAGGCACATCATAAAAACAAATTTCACATCTCATAGAAGGCGTAATATAATACACTATAATATAAACCCTTTAAAGCTTATTTTCTCATGCACGTGAGCATGTCACACGTTTATTGTGTACTCTCATAAGAATGTGCACTCTGTTTCTGATGCGCTTCAAACATTATTTCATTCCCCTTTATTTCCCATGCTTCAATTGGGCATTCATTTATAAGTTGCATTATTTTGGCAATAAATGCAGTTGTACATGAGTGCCTGCGAGCATGTATCGTCTTCCTTGTGGGCATCTGTTTGCACTGATACATTCTGATTTCAAACAAGGAGGAGGAGGAGGAAGGGAAGAAATGAAAGGCAGGGAGGTCAGCCAGATGCACATCCGGTTTGCTACCATGCACTGGGGGAAGGGATTAAAGGAGAAGAGAGAGAGAAGTGAAGGGCAACGTGTGTGTAGATGTGACTTTGTCCATTGCACGCTTATAAGCGGTCGCGTAGTCCGGTCGTCTTTAGAAAACTTAGCAGTGCTCGCGTCGCTTTGCTGGCCTGCGACGCGTACAGCCATGAACCAAGGATCTTCTCTTCAAAGAAAGGTCTACTGTCTCTAACGTTTCGCGTAGCAAGTTGCGTTCGATCGAAAAACGTTCACATGAACACAGTAGATTCCTATTGTCTCGTCAGTGTCACACGATTCACATCGGGAGCTATCCGCCATTCCTTTGCGAAAGGAGTACGCCTTTGTAAAAGCTACTCCTAACCACAGGCGGCACAGTAAAGTTGCATCCTGGCGGGAGAGGCCCGATAGAACTTGAAGCTTTCTCGATGGGTCTAATTTGTGTAGGCAGCGGTTCCTGACACTGGGGTCACTCAGCCAAGTTTCCAACATGGTGTTAGCGAACGAGTGAAGGCCCCTTGCAGCCTTGGTTCTCGACAATGGAATTGGGGTTGTCTGGGCGTCCACGTGGGCGGATCGGGCAGCATTATCAGCAAGGTCATTACCGACAATACCACAATGTCCCGGTAACCACTGGAACACCACGTCATGTCCTTTCGATAAAACTTCGTGAAACACTTCTCTTATTTCATTCACTAGTTCTTGATGCTCCCTTTGTCGTAAAGCTGATTGCAAGCTCTGAAGGGATGCCTTGGAGTCGCAGAACACAGCCCATTTTTGAGGTCGGGCTTCCGCGATATAAAGTATAGCAGCGCGTAAGGCGGCAAGCTCCGCTGCTGTGGATGTTGTCCTATGCGACAGTTTGAGCTTTATAGTGACCTGGTACGCTGGAATGACAACAGCACTTGTGGAGCTGTCAGCCGAGACCGATCCATCGGTGAAAATGTGGGTCCTCTGGCCGTATTCTTCATTGAGTAGCGACAATGTCACCTGTCGTAGGACCACTGTTGAATGACGGCTCTTGTTCTTTATTCCCGGAATAGTGAGGCACACCTGTGATTGTTGTAGGCACCACGGAGGTTACGCTGGTCTTGTTGCTGGAGTGAAGCCGAAAGGAAGGCATTCTCTATGGGCATAAATAATCTTTGAAAACATCGCTTGTGGTCTTTGAAGTGGCAACACTGCAACATGGTGACCAGGAACTCGGCAGAGGTGTCTTATGTGGGCTCTCAAATTGTCAGAGGGTGATGTATGTTTGAATTGGATGCTCTCTTCCGATCATAATTGCCCCGTAGGTTGAGGTGCATCGCGGCAATCCTAAGCACACGCGTAGTGCTTGTCCTTGCAGACTTTCGAAGGTGCGGATGTTCGTCTTGCACGTACTTGCCAGTAACGGCAAGCTGTAGCGCAAAAATCCCAGAAACAGTGCCCTGTATAGCTGCATCATTGACCTTATCGATGTGCCCCAAAATTTTCCGCAGAGGAACCGCATTATATGGACGATGGAAGTTAGCCTTCTCTTTAGGTAATTGCAGTGAGCACTCCACGAAAGGTTCCTGTCAATAATCACACTCAGGAAGCGATGGTTATTCTGGTATGAAATATTTTCCCATTGATGATAACGGGGTATTGTGTAATGGCTCTGCGAGTAAATGCAACCAATGCACATTTCTCCGTTGAGACGGAAAGACCTTGCCTGCGGAGATATGAGCATGTCAGGGTGGCAGCCTGCTGGACTCTTGCACGTACTTGTAGACGAGTTACAGACGAAGTCCATAGACAAATATCGTCAGCATATATAGATATGAGGATAGTACTTGGCAAAATTTCACGAAGTCCTACCATCACGAGGTTGAATAAAGTGGGACTTAATACGGCGCCCTGAGGGACGCCACAGGAGGTGTAGTAATTGGTGGTAGGTCCATCTGAGGTTTGTACAAAAAAGGACCTTCTCGTCAAATAATCCTGGATCCATTGGAACATTATTTTCAAACAAAAGTGGATTTCAAACAAAAGTGGGAATACATTAAGGGGGTACTAGCTGTGATAAAGAATCATACAAACAAAATGAACACGTGATACCATTGTCTAAGTAAAAGATATGCAAGTTTCTTGATGAGGAGCACTACTGAGGGCACGCTCGCATATATATCTTCTTTCTTGTCAATGCCATAGCGCTCGTACATTTCATGTGCTCACTTATCATCATAGTACCTTGGTATAACTTACAGTGATAGAAAAAAAAAAGCAGGGCAACCACAAATGAAGCGATTGTCACTAAGTGACTGTCTATGCAACCCTTTATCAGATTTCAATGCAACTTTTCCAAGGTTTAAATACACATATATATATACCCAGTAAAATGGACTGGAGTGTGACCACCACGTGGCTCAGTGGTAGAGTGTCGTATGCATTATTCAAAGGTCGCAGGTTGGGTTTCTGCCAACTGCAAGTTACCTTTTGTACATTTTTGTTTTTTCACAATTACATCCCAATTAAAGCATCCCCTATACTTTTCTTGGCATTCTCACCTTTAAGTTCTAATTGATATTCTCTCAGGTGGTAATTTACACATCAGGCAGTTCGACTGCAGTAGAAACGACAGCATGAGAGGAAGATTCTGCACATTGCATTGTGGAAGCATTCAACAAACGTTTTTGCATGTTTTCTTATGAGCAAGGCTCAGTGTTTCGTCCGCCCTAGTTTAGTTTCATCGTTTACATTGTTACTCATGTTTTCTAGGTACTATTGTACCAACACATGTACTATTTTCACACTGACAATGAGCAGCAATGTACAGTCATCTTTGTCAACTCACCCTTTGAGGATCAGGGTACAGCACCACCTAACAAAAACCAAATATTCTGAGCAATAAATGTATTGCGCCATCTGTATGTTTGAAAAAACGCCCCACTTTCAAAAGCAAAGCTCTTAATGTTTGAAGTAGAACGTTGGGTGTGCCCAAAAAACCCTCCGTGGCATCGCTCATTATGTGCTGTTGCTTATCCCCTGCCACTGACGTAGACAGCCCACCCAGGCGCCGCACGGAATTTGCCTGCCGCACGAGCCGTGTACAAGCAACGAAAGGCCCGCACTTACACCGGGTGTGCCACAGCCAGCTTTGCACATCAGCTCTGGTGCTGGAGTTTAAACACTCTTGCATGGTCTGTGACAGGCTGTGTTTCGACAATACTATGACTACGTGGAAGAAAGACCAAGCATCGACCAAGAAGGCCACGTTCAGCCCGTAACCTCAACCAGCTTCACTGTTTCTTAAACTTTACCCGGCTAGTATAAACTTTTCCCTTTCCTTTTCAACTCCCCTTTACCCTGCAAATGCTGTCACTCTACAAGAATAGAGCAAATGTCTTTTTTTTTAGCATTATTGACATTCTGTTTCAATTCCCAAGTTCGTTTATACTGGCACAACACCTATTGCTCGCACATCTGTGCATGCATACTGCCATAAGTTTGGCTTTGTCTCATGGTTGGTTTCCATAAACGTGTCCATAAGGGGGGAGGCAGTGGGGGTGCCTGCCCTCCCCCAGTCACTGAAGAGAGGGGCACAAAGTCTGCCATATATATTGACTTAATAGGGATGAGGGATCTGCAACGAACTTGCCCCCCCCCCCCCCCCCCCTTTCAAGGGGATCGCTGTGCGCACCTGTGGTTGTTTGTTACACTCACAAAAACTGATGTCTACATATGGTTTCTTATCAAGGCACAACTGCTTGATACTATTAGCATGTCTATCTCCCAGTGTGATTTCACTTGTTTACAGATGGGTAGAATAGCGAATACAAACAGTGCCAGTGTGTACATACAATGCTACCATGCCTGCGTGTTTTCTTTTTGGGTGTTTGCATTATTTTTATGACCCTTTAAAAATATTTATTTGAATGAACACACTTCTTTCCCATATAGTAAGTTTTTCTGTCATTCATATTTTCTATATCCATGATTTGAGCAGTGCATTTATACCCATGGCAAAGTTTTATAGTCACTTTACGGTCACTAAAATATCAAGGTAGTTTTTTCTTATAATATGTCACTCTGAAAAATTCTAAAAATGCAAACAAAAAACACCAACCTTGTGATAACTGCATTACAAAAAGTTTGACCCTCCAAGGGTTAGGGTACTGACAGAATATCCCAGTCCATTGTAGAAAATATTATACTTTGCCAATCGAAATTCATCATCTGTGTATTGCTTTTTCAATGACCTGATCTCATGCTCTTGAGCCTTTCTAATTTTAGTTCTTGAGTGATATCCACATATGTCACCATAAGAGAAGGAACAATGTACAAACACAGACACTACAAAAACGAATGAGATCACACAAATGCCATGCAATGCAGATGTAATGTACAGCAGATGAAGAGCACAAGGCGTTTCACCAAAAGAAAGGACAATGATGTTTACAGGTCTAGTATAACTTCCAGAGACTTGCCTCAGGTGCCCTCGTGGGACGCCAGCGATGATGATGCTGCATGGCAATCAATGCTCGGTGACGCATCTCGGCTGGAAGGGCTGCGAATTCTTTTGAGTCACAGTCAAGTGATGCCAACTCCCAGAGAGCATCTTCCTTGTGCCAGTCTTCATCATCATCCTCGACTCTGAATGGTGACGGCAGAAATACAATGCATTTCATTAACTTGTTTCATTATAATCATCATTCTTATTTATGTCCATTGCAGGATGAAAGCCTTTTTCAGCAATCTTCTGTTACTCCTTTAACGTATGAGCATGCATCTATGTCTTCAAACGATTTTATAGTAACGCCTCTACCAAAGCTGCTACATTTTGTATTTTTCACACTTTGTTGGTGGTCAAGGTGATGCAAGTATTATCGATGGCCAGGAATGATGGATATATGGGAGGCACAGAAGCGAACAGATAAAATTGCAATAGAATATTGGCGCAGGTCCCCATTTTTTTCTCAATTACAGTTACCTAAATGATCAGTTCATTGATATGATTACCATAATTAAAGATTACAAATAACCATTGGCACACCACTGAAGAGCTTCTCTATTCTAACAAATTAAATTCATTTATATACTTTGTTTTATCTAGTAAGTGCTCGAAATGAACAGCAGCACAGCTACTAAGGGTTTTTGTCCACATCAAAAGCACACGTAAACCTTAACAAATATGTGACACATAATTTTTCAGTCGAAGTGTAAGTATCTGTCTGACTAAATTAAAACTGGCAAACAGCAGAAAATGGGCATATGTCAATAGAGTACCAGCAATCGAATTTCACATCTTATTTTTTTCTCTTTGCATTAAGTAGTCAACGAACTGTTTATCATATACAGAAACTACTGCGCACTTGTTTGCTCAAGCATTTGATGGTTTATTGTTTGGATACATTTTTTTAGCATCCAATAACGGTTTCTGTTTCAGGTAGTGCGAGAGAGTGCGTGCATGTGAGCACCCCGTTGAGAACTGCTGGGGATAAAGCACGCAAGGAGACGGTAAACACAAGCTCAAGATGTAGCTTGTTTGCGGTTTTGCGGTTTACATTCACAAAAAGTTGATATTGTGAGGGACTCTGTTTCGCATACAGTTGTGCAGCACATGGCTTAAAATTAAAATATGATATCTTAGCTGCATTTGCCATTTCTATATAAGTAGGTGATGTGTGTGTGTCCACACAAATTTATTTCACAAGTTATCTCACCTTCATAACTTTGGCACTACTTTAATAGCATGGTAGGAAAACAGATGTTGTGCATGCAATGAACTTATTCTATATCGTCAACACAAAGTTTCAAGCACTGTGAAAAGGGAGTACATACTTATATAATTTGTTCCAGTGTTCTGGCAGAGGTGGCAAAACATACAGGTCATCTACCGGTGCCTTGGGCGCTGGTCGTTTCGACCCTCTCTGCCGGGCCTTCAAAATCAGTAGTCTTAGCCTTGCGCTGCGCACTTTCTTGTGCAGATGTACGCCTTTCCTGACGAGCAGCCTGAAAGATTAAATGTGAGTTTGTATTTCATTGCTAAGGTCCTCTGTTAGGTCTTTCGTTTTTCCAATCACAGCAGTGGAAAAGGAAGTAGATCAGAAAACGTAACCAACAATGCATCATACCCCATAAAGGTACTAACATATTGTCAGAGGTAAATTAGCATTATCAGTGCACTACATTCCCCTGAACGCTTTAAGCCAGGAGTAATTTAATCAAACTGAACGAAATATTTTGCCTACAATGCTATATATATACACTTGCTAACATATATATTTACTTACTGCTATGTATTTATTATGCAAGACTTCCGCAGAGGCAACAGAGCAACATGGTCAGTGCTGCTATCGCTTCCTGTGTCTGTCTACATTTAGCATGCGCTTTCGAATGCTAAGCTTTAGTTATCCGAAGTTAGCTCATTGTCGTGACAACTTCGACAACGGTTAGAAAATACTGACCAGAGTTTGTTTCTTAAGCTGTGGCACGCCTCCATCGAAGACGAAGACGGGTTTAACTCCGTAAAATAGAAGCTTGCAAACTCGTTGAAGCAACCCCAACAAGTGCGCATTGGCCACGGGACTTCCTTGGGCATCACGGAATCCTTTGACGGCCTGATGAAGCCATAAGCTCACGTCTACAGTGTGGACATTACGGAGTGAAGGAAAGCTCGCGCTGATTGTTCGTTGAACTGCGTCTCACGGCACAAGCAATAAAATAATAAAACAACGATGCAGACAAACACACTGTATCATTAAACAATCTTCACATCATCTTAAGGAATACCAAATTTCACTAGCGCCACTTTCATCTACCCGCAACACCCAAGCAACTGTTATACAGAAATGAAAAGGATACCGACGGCGAGAACTTTGTTCTCTAACGTTTCGAGGGCGATTGGCTTTCCCGCAGCCTCCACTACTTGCCACAGGCCGTGAACACCCATTGCTCGGCACTCGAAACAAGCGATGCACTGGTCTCAAACTGGAGTCGGCATCACGATAGAAGCCACTTAAGATGAAGCTTGTGGACGAAGCACGGTGAACTGGATTTCCGCCATGTAGGCGACACAATATTCATGATTTCCCATTCAAGATACACTACAAATAGTACAAGAAGTGATACGCGACGAGAATCTCCGGTGCGAAGCGTGTCATCACACGCCAACTCAGTGCAGCAGACGCTATGACGCTAAAAAAAAAAAAAAAAAACATTACGCTATGACCAGTAGCAATGGACAAATAAGCTCGAAGGGAAAGGACCCAGGCCGGAAGTGGGGTAACCAGCGGTACGCCTAAACCTGCTGGAACCCGTCGGGAACTACTCGGTGGCCAAAACTCGTTCTGATTTACGGCCTCCAAAAATGATTGAATCCACAGGAAATACCTCTGCTAGTTGACTATAGTGTCCTAAAAGATTTTTCTAGTGCGAATTGACACTGGTCCTGCGTAAGCGTTTTCACCTCACCATAACCCCTACGACGCCGTCAAGTTATAGAAACGTTGGTCCAATCCTCGTTCGAACAAAAACTCCAAGCGTGTTCTCGGTGTGCGCTGCCCGTCGAGTGTATTGGTTTCGGGCTAAACATAAAAAATCCGAGTTTCGTCACAAACACCTGTTTCGTCTTAAGGACGAAGCAATGTATGCGATAGCAATGAAATTATAGTTCATTACCTGTAAGTGCGCTTTCCTACAATGCACATTCTCCCAACTTGTGCTTCCAGTTGACACGAGGTCTTTGTTGAAACCGGTTGAAACAGCTTGACTGCGCTTTTTGCATTAAGTCATTAACCATTAGTTGGGCTAACTGCAAAGCAGGGAAGATATGCCTTTGAGGGCTTTGTAAGAATAAAGTAAATAAGCTGTGTGTGTTTTGGTTCGTCTGTGAGCAGTTAGTGTGTGCCATATGAGTGTATATTTGCCATGTTGGTGCTCACCTAATTCCACATCCATTACCCCCCCCCCCCCCTCAGAAAAAAAAAAGAAACATGAAAGTTCTATAAAAGTTTCTAGAAAGGTGCATTAGCCATCAGCTAATCAAGATAGGGCGCGCGCGCGACGGCTTCTGGAAGGTCCCTATAGTTAAACAAGTTGTTTTATATGGAGACCTTAGCCCTGGCTGATCACCCCGTGCGTTTTCTGTCCGCTTGAACGGCATTCGTCGGCTGACCTCGAACGTTTTGACTTGCATACGATACATACGAGCATGCACGCGGTGATTTTATCGCCTGAGCTTCTACAGAACTACACGGCGGCGGCAGCTGCAGGAATTCGCTTGGAGTTGACGACTATTATTACAGAAAAAAAAAAAAAAAACGTTAAATTATAAGAGATTGTATTTTTGTCCCATGACAACAATCATCACTTAGTTTGCTTGCATTTCGCCTTTCTTGAAAACTTAGTGCTTCACACTTTCCTATCAAGAATACCCTGTAGGCCTACGACACACTACGTCCAAACGAAAGGCGAAAAGGGGAAGATGGAAGCTTGCGATAAGAAATTCCTAAACGGGTGTGCGTGATGGAGCCGATGTTTCAACAAGTGGACTTGTACATCGCTTTCAAGGATGCAACCTTGAAAACGCCAAGTTCACTCTTTAGAATGTTGGCTCACCCGATTCCCTGTCTATGAATTTCTAATAACGAACATGCCATTCATGACATGAAACGGATGCAACCTTGAAAACGACAAGTTTAGTCTTTGAAATGTTGGCTCACCCAAATCCCTGTTTATGAATTTCTAATAACGCACACGCCATTCATGACATGAAACGGGACTTGAGGCTATAGGCACACGACACAGATGACTGATATTGTCACGCCGCGAAAATATGCACTTTTCACACGCTCTTTTTCTTTAAAGTGTTGAAAGAAGCATCTATGGGTATATCCAGGGGGGGTAGGGGGATACAAACTTTTCATCGAATTTTAAAAGTTTGCTTGGGCAGATATACATGTCCACAAGTATATCCACAAGTATGTATGCATGAACATACATAAAGTGTAGTTGTAACTCTCCTGCAAAAAAAATTCTGGCTGTGCTCCTGGAAGCATGTGGAGAAGGAATTGGTGGACTAATGGGTAGAATATAAGAGGTAGTGAGGAGGAAGAAGCAGAGGTGGTTAGTGCTCTGGCTCTAATGCAGGGAGTGCTGGAATTGTGCAGGACCCACTGCCAATTGGGCCATCACCAATTTTGCTAATGAGACAGAGGTACCACAGCTGGCCTGGTGTTTAGTGTTGTTGGTCCTGATTTCTCGAGAAGGTGGCATATAGCTTTTCTTTCCAAATTCTTCCTTCATACCCCATTTCATTCTGCCCAATGTCCCTATGCCACTATGATTTGCAAGAACAAATGTCTTTTCTTCAAACCACTACTAATACCCCCAAATCTTTGCCGCACAAACGAGTTTGAAAGAGAGCATCGTCCAGCTCTAACCAAGAGTACGGCTGGTTTTTATGAAAGGCTTTCTCTTGAATGTTGCATCTGTTAATGTATACAGTACAGATATGTTTCTTCTCTCTCTTCTTGCTGGTGTATTCAAGTCTATGCATGAAAGGCTTTCAGCATGTTCTTCAAAGTGAAGAAAGCAACCAGCCTAGCATAATTTGTACAGGAGAAGTGGACACAGTTTAATTACACAGCCACTCTTAAGTTGTGTGATTCTAAAGCTGCAATGGGAGACTATAAGTTGCTCCTACCCTGTTCTCTCTACTACATATGCCTAAAGCCTACCCTGTTCATTTACTCAACTACAGCACTTGAAGAATGGCACAATTGACCAATTGAAATGATTAAAGAATAAATAGGCTGCTGGAATTAACAAGACGAATGGTCACATCAGCTCTGGTGCATGTTCGAGCTGGCTACTGACAACCACAAATCAGCTTATGAAGCGAATACATTCAAGCCTCATTTTAAAAAACTCACATTTGCCACAAAAACACTTTGTTATGTCCAAAAATGTGACATAAACAATTATTTGTAACACTGTATCTATGTCAAAGCTATTGGTCACTTACTTTGTTATAACCAACAATTGGTAATATAGGAACTCGTTATATTGAGGTTTGAGTATACTAGATTACCTAACAGTGATTATTGTAAATTTTGTAGCCTCTTGTGTAGCATTCACGATATGGGAAGGCTGGTCAAAGAAAAAACTATGGCCAGTTGTATCGCTTGTTTTTTTATTATTTTTATGTCAAATTTACAATGTGGCAATGAATTTTTAGGCCTGCTTTATACCAGACTTCACCTGCATCAAGCTGCCTGCAGTGTCAATTGCCTTTTTTTCACTTGTCTACTCACTAACATATTCCACAGCAGTTTTCACCGCTTTGAGTTTTTGCCCATTTTCCAACTATCATCGTTGTAGATCATGGTTCTTAGATTTGGGTCTGCGAAACCTATCTCGGATTAAAGGAAGGAAGTAAGGAATAAACTTTATTTTGTATCCGGCCTGTTGGTGGACTGGGCTCCGGCCTAGGTGTCGACTAGAAGGTCTTGTCTCCTAGCGGATTCCTTGGCCCTCCGGATTGCCCACACCTGATTGTCCAGGGCTGAACTGAGCAGCACGGCCACCCAACACGCGCACAGGCTGTCGGTGGAGGCCGCCTTCTCATTACTGTGTTTTAATCTCTGGCATTCCCATAGTATATGTTCAAAGGAAGCTCATGCCTGACAATCTTTGCATTAAGCAGTCACGTAGATTAAAAAAAAAACTTTTTCTTATAAACACTCGAAGTGCGTCTCATTTTTCTTGAAAACACAGGCTCGACTGAAACTCTACAGCCTCTCTACTGTTGCTGTGCTCTCTCAGAACTCGGCCATTAAACAATGTAGTGTCAGAGGTTTGGGTGTGCACATGTTTGTGGTGAAAGCAAGAGAGCCTCGCAGGCGACAAGAAAAATCAGTGCCTTACACACCTTTCGAGCTGCATGAACGTTCCCTGAAATAAGTCTGTGTTGTTTTAATTACCTGTTCTCATTTTACTGTAGGTACTTTTTTTTTTTTTTTGAAATATGGTTGAGGCAGTTTAATTATTGAGAGATCTATGGCTGCAATAATATAGGTCAGCAATTCGCAGTCTCATAGTCAAATCAGGAGAATTGGCTGGTGCGATATTGATGTCATGAACTACAAGACTGGTTACGTCGCCTTTGGCAAACATGGCAGGGTGAATGAATGGCCATCTTCCTTAATGTGCCAAGATCAGCTACTGCCACACTGTTGTCTGAACTTACATTGTCCCCAATTTCTAAAAAACAAAAACAATTATTGATCAGGCCCTACAATGTATGCCACTGTTTTTCAATAATTTTCAAAGAATGCTTAAATATTAAGCCAGTTTTTCCAGATAATCCCCTTTCACTCACTCTAATAAGCATGCAGTCACAACTTGATGGAATGCGTACTCATTCAACCTTTTGTTTCAGATATTCGCTATGTGAATGAAAATTCATGGCAGTGAAGGCTGGTCTGTCAATTCTCTTGATGCCATTTTCATAATGACTGGAGTTTCTTACAGTGCCCAATCATGAAAGCAAACCTTGATCTCGTTCCTTCTGTTCTACATCATTGCAAGACGATGCAGCTGATTGTGTGGGACAAGTGTTAATGCAATTGGGCCTCAGTCACAGCATTTCTAGTCAACCCGAGTTGAGAATGTGAGCAAACACCCTCGCTTCTTTCTCGATGTGTGGCAGTAACTTTGCTTTTCTAGGAACACAAGTGGTTCACGTTACAATCGTTTTTATTCATTTAACCAATTGTCCCTGTGGACGTTATATCAGTCTGCTCTGGTGTCTTCAAGCAGTACCGGATGGTTTGGCCCATTCCACGGAGAGGATCAGGTTGTCATAACCAAAGCCGTTGACATTGGCAATGGCACGAGCAGCGTCTTCACGGTGCACGAAGTTGATGAAGGCGAAGCCCTTGGACTGTCCAGTCACCTTGTCCTTAGCCAGATAGATTCTAGCAATCTGGCCGAAAGGCCGGAACAACTCCTGTAGGTCAGAGTCACGCACGTCTTCGGACAAGTTGGTCACTCGAATAGTGGCCGCTTCATCCCTAGTGCGCGACTGCGCCATAGATTCTCCGCGACGATTGGCACCCTCTCGCATGCTGGGCGGGATGTACTTGCCAGACTTCACCTTCTCCTCAACCTCGACAGCCACAACGGGCTTAGCCTCCTCCTTCAGATGTTCGGGTAGGGCAACCTTATCTTTGAAAGGGCACTGCGTGGTCCAATGGTCTTCCTTGCAGATTCGGCATTTGACCATCTTGGTCTTCTGACTGCGCAGCTTGGCCAGCATGTCCTCCTCCGGGCTGGTCTCTTCCTCCTGGGCACTGACAAACTGCATCTGTATTTCCTCGCCGACCACCGTAGTGGCCGCATTGGGGCCCGGCGGGTCATTCTTCGCATCTCCAAACTTCTTCCAAAGCTTTCTGCGCGCCACAGACTTGGAAACTTGCCTCCTTTCGATCCTGTAGTGCCGAAGCACCTTGATCCTACGGCCTTCTTCGTCTACGCGGTATTCTGTGGTGACTTTCTCTTCGCCGTCGGCGACTTCCACTTGCGTTTGCGAAGGTAGGGAAGGCAGCGGAACGTCTTCACCTTGCTCGACCCGGTCAGCCCAGCTGGGCTGGATCGCGTTGTCGACAACGGGCATTATTAATGAAGCTAGCACTAAAACTCAGAAGCACTGGCACATATGGCTACCCACTCATCAACGCCAGAAGTGCCTGTGTAAAAATGATGATGATGATTGGCTCGACGCTAGCGCTATGCCTGGGCAGGCAGGGCGGCGTGTGTATGTGATCAGAAATGTCCAAAAAAGTTTCATACTTTGCTGTGTTATAATGCTACCCAAATTAGAATAGTATTTAAACAAGGAACAAATAATTAATGTAAGTTCTGTGGATGATCTTGCTTTAGCGAGCGTCTCTAGCAGAGCTCAAATCGCGGGCACTATCCCTTTATTTTTTCTTTTCTGGATGGATGGACTGATGTGACTCTATCCTTTAGATCGGGCGGTGGCTAACATCACCGAGTCGTAATACTTAAATAACTGGATTTATCTTTTTTTTTCTTTAAATAGTGAAATATAGGACTGGTACTTTGCAGTGAATGGTTTAATTTTCACTCGTGTCTTGACTTTAGCCACCTTGCAGTGAATGGTTTAATCTTCACTCGTGCTTTGACTTTAGCCACCAATCATATAACCTCCTTCTAGTTAATTCTACCCCCTTAAAGTCTATTTTGCCCTCCCTGTCCCTAAACACCAGTGCTTTGAAAAACTCTGCGCCATCATCCTGAACTACAGGGTGAAGCCTTTTACAGAACATTATCAAGTGCTCAGCAGTTTCCTCAACACGCACTGCATACCGTGTCTACCCCTTCGTATTTGGCCCGATATGTCTTCGTTCACATTATTCCTGTCGTGGCCTCAAACAGTAGAGAACAACTCCGAGTATTATCATACTCCTTTCCTTGGCGATTTCCTGCTTAAAAGTTTGATAGATCTCTAGTGCGGACTTTTTAATCATGCCAATTCTCCACATGTCAGTCTCCGTTTCCTTCACTTTCTCCTTAACCGATAGTTCTTTTTGGTTTGGCCCCCTGCTGTTTTCTAAGTATTTACCTGTCAATTTTCTGGTTTGCTTCCTCCATTTTGTATCGACATTCTTCATGTGCAAGTAGCTGAAAACCTTCCTAGCTCAACGCTACTCCCCCAATATTTCTCTCAATCGCTTCTCAAATTTTTATCTTGCTGCTAGCTTCCCTGCCCTCAAATATGTCCATCCCATATCACCTTGGACTCCCTGATTTGGTGTATTCCCGTGAGCTACTAAAGCAAGGCTACCTATTCCACGTTGCTTAATTTCTCATCTTGCTTGAACTTCTGATCTCATTCATGCCCCAAGACCGCATTGCCGAACGTAGACTTCCTCTTCACCCGACGCAGCGCCGTGCTGCACAAATGAGCGTAGCTTGCACATCTAGCCACTTCTAATATTTTATCCGAGCTAGCAGGCACGCGCCGCCACATGGTGAAGGCAGATCGAGTTTTTAAAATCTTTCTTCATCCTTTTCCCATAAGCATTTCGCGCTACTCACTTGGACAGCTCTCAGCATGCCGCGATGTAGTACATGTGAAGGTCGTCTTCATCTTCACGGCAGTCCTGCAGGTTTTTTATAACTACTCTGAGGCTGAAAACTGACGTAGAAATACCTGAGAAAGTGTGCCAGCAGTGAGGTGACAGTTAACGCCAACCTCTTTCCCACCCATGGGCGTGAGCAGGATTTCGTCGAGGTGGAGAGGGGAAGGGAGAGTAGTTTAATTGGAGCAAGTGCAGACTTTTCTCCTCGTCACCCTCACTTTCCTGTCTCACCTCCCCATGCTATACTATCCAAGCAGATCCTAGTTTAGCATAGTCCACGTCATGGCATAGCCATGTGGCTGATGATATGCTCTTCCCAATGGCACTCGCCCACAAAGGAGGATGGGCCAAGAAAATAGTTGCAGAATGAAATTACCCATAAACTTGGAAAGAAAAAAACCACGAAAATTTAGACTAAAAATAAAACATTAAATAAATAAAAGTGCTGAACGAGCAAGGAGTTAGATTATCAGATGGAATTTATGAAAAAGATAATAGACACTTTGCTATAGCGAACTTGACTTTGTCGTAGGTGGTAGCACGCATGTTGAAACGCTGCACAGACTACAAAGTGCACTCGCCTCTGGAAGACTCCATATAGCAAATTTAGTGCTTCCGGCACTATACTCACCATGGTCCGCTTTAGCGCATCCAATTTACATGAACACTAGTTCAATCTAGAACGCAGGCATACAAGCGAACTACCTTTTAAAATGGTGCTATGAGAAATGTAATCATGAGCAATGTATTTTATATAGGTAATGCGGGGGTGCTGGGTTGACTTTACAGTGTAGCCGGCCACCTACCAGTATACTGGCCTTGGAGCTCGGAGATTTCCATTCTCGCTTCTCGAGAAAGTGGCCTTTCTTTCCACACTATTCCTTCAGACCCACCATCCCCACTGCCAGACAAAGCAGAGCCGAGCTCCCTTATGAGTTACAGATGCAAGAGTATTTCCGATCCTCAATATTACTACATCATGGTACACCACTATGCTATTCTTATGAAGAAACAAAGACAACGAGTGAGATGCAACGATATAGTTACAAGCATTGTCTTCTAAGAGCAGCACCACTGCAAGTGAAACATTTTCTCTCAATCAAGCGATGTTTTTTTTTATTGGGTGGTGTTTACCACACTTTATGATGGCACTGTAAACTCCAGAGTTCTTTATCACGAGCAGCATGGCCTGTCCTTACTGCACCTCCAATCCTTGTCACCTGAGGAAGATGTCTGTGTTGCGAAAACTGGAATTGTCCCTTTGAAGAGAAAGGAAAGTTATTACATCATTGATCAATCAATGGCACAAAGACCACGTCACGATACTCATATTGTGCTACTAGCAGTACCATGAAACCCTGTTTAGGAAACTGCGACATACAGATCAGGTGAAACTATGTATTGCATGTTAAGTGTATATATCTTATAACAAGCTGACAAAATTTGGGAGAATTTGGCTTAAAAGAAAATTCTTTTATTCAATTTATGTTGCGGGTGAAGCAAACAGAACCAGAAAAGTTTGTTGTTTTATATGTTCATTTCTTTGAATTCACCATGTGGGACAGACGGACAGACAGTTTTTTTCATGTTGGCAAAGAAATTCTCACACATTTAAAAGTATACTCAGGGCCCAGTGTTTTGTGTAGCTAACAATATTAGGCCTCAATCTCTTGATTAATCAGCTAATTCATGACAAGGCGAGTTTGGGATCGCTTGGTATTGCCTTGGCCTTGCTGTAGGCATAAGACAGGCTAACGATGACTCTCAGATACAATAATAAATTGATACTAGACAAATGGTGTCATGACCCTTTTAGGAAGGAGAGGGAAAAGTGGCAGAACTGCATAACCAAGAAGGTGAAATTGTTTCAAAATTTATCATAAGACTTAAATTTTTTGTTTAGTCTGACTGATATAATGATGGATATGTGGGGTTTAATGTCCCAAGACCACCATATAATTATGAGAGATGCCGTAGTGGAGGACTCCGGAAATTTCGACCACCTGGGGTTTTTTAACGTGCACCCAAATCTGAGCACACGGGCCTACAACATTTCCGCCTCCAGCGGAAATGCAGCCGCCGCAGCCGCGACTCAATCCCGCGACCTGTGGGTCAGCAGCCGAGTACTTTAGCCACTAGACTATCGCGGCGGGGCAGTCGTACTGATATAGACATTACAAGTTGATAGTAGGTTCTGTGTTATAAAATTGCAATTTGTTGCTGAAGTACAATATATAACAGTTTGAATTTACATTTAAAAACACACATGGTGAGTTTGGCAAATAATTCTGGCACAGGGAAGATGTACCTTATGAGTGAACACAAGTAGTATCCAACCTACACTCATTAATTTCATATCAATTAATGCAGTGCCTTGAACTTAGGATCTTACAAAGTTTTTCAATTAGGTATGTATTGAAGAGTAATGCCCACTACCGCAGCGACATCCGACATGTTGGCGCGTGTCGCTGAGCTGGGGACTGCCTGGTTGCTGCTGCGACGACGCCCGTATATCCGACCAGCTCTTGTTGCTTCTGTCTTGACCCTGCTACCGCTTATCACCTTACATTTACATTATATTTTGGTGGAGGCTGCCGCAGGTTTTCCCCAACCCTGGAATTGCGTAGCCGAAAACTGCCACCCGTCATGCCTGACGACGCTGTCTTCACACACCCCCGGAGCTTTGCCACCCAGGGGCTGTCCCGGTGCTCAGCTCCTGCGTGAACCCGACATCTTCAGCGGCACAGACGAGAAAGACGTTGAGGATTGGCTGGAATCCTACGAATGAGCCAGCGCTACCAACAAATGGGATGATGCAATGAAACTGGGTACCGTGATGTTTTATTTAAAGGATCTCGCCAAGCTGTGGTACAGAAACCACGAGACGGACATTCCTATTTGGACGACCTTCAAGTTCTGCATCACAGCTGTTTTTGGACGCCCTGGGGTGCACAAACTTCGCGCAGAACAACGCCTTCGAAGCAGGTCCCAACAAACTGGTGAGACATTCACCGGCTACGTCGATAACATCCTCGACCACTCCCGGCGTATTGACCCGACAATGCTGGAAACTGACAAGGTACGACACATTATGAAAGGCTCTTCCCCAACGAATGTTCTCGACGTATATGTGGACGGCGTCGCTGCACTCGCTTTTGTCGACACTGGTGATGCAGTTTCAGTGATTAGTGGCATACTCTGCCGCTTGCTCAAATAAGTTATGACGCCACAAGCAAGTATATCGCTTCGTACAGCAAGCGCAGAGCACGTCATGCCAGCCACTACCTGTACTGCTTGCATTGCAATTGACGGCCTCATCTATATCTTCGAATTGCTAGTGTTGCATTCCTGCTCCCATGACCTCATTTTGGGCTGGGACTTTCTCTCCGCTAATAAGGCCGTCATCGACTGCTCGCGCGCTGAGGTGGCATTTGAAGTGTTTAGTGACGCTACTTTACATGACGCTGTTGAAACCGGGGACAAACTATTTCTTGTGCAGAACATCGTTGGCGCAAACTTAGAAGACGTTGAAAGAAGAGACTCGGAGAAGCGCGCACTCGCAACTGACTTTTATTGAACC